TTTCGCTTACTTTACAAAGCATCGAAATACATCAGTAACAATATAATCTACTTCAATTGCATTTCTCAGATTACGATATAGTACAATCAAGGTATCATGGTACACTACACATTAACATCTCTTGCATTCTAGGAAATTGAACTATCAGAGTAAGTTAAAATTCTTTAGAATATCAAACTGAAATTACACTGCGACTACTGTAACTCTAGTTACTTTCTTGCCACTTGCACGAGCTAGTAACTAATCAGATTCTGCGAAATACAAAGATCGGTGAGTTAGTAAAAACCGGTCAAGAGCCATACCTATATGAATGGAACAGAAAATGTTACTACCGATGTGAACGAATTCAAACGCATCTACTTCCAGTCGTTAGGGCTGATGTCCAACCCAAAAGCCCAAACCTGATGAGCTCAAACAGAAATTGGCTACTGGGAAATAGAAAGCGCTGATTAACTGTTTTGCCATTCAAGTAGTTTTTTAACTAATTACTCAAGTATCGTAACTGTTCGATTTAGTGCCCGGGACGCTCATTTACTTTTTGTACATTAGGAGAGAGCGTTTATTCAAACCAGGGCACTTAATTTTTTTTTTGAGAATGAGCGGAAAATAGCTTTGATGTCTAATTTACCGAAAAAAAAACCAAGGAGACTGGGAAAACCGACTTGTTGTCCTTAGATCCAAGGACAAAAACGACCATCCAAGAAGCAATCGTCACAAAATTTTATGACTAAATTACTCGGTTAAAGAACTATGGACTCAATAGTTGAAAGACTGAGATGCAGTCTGACAGTGCCATCAACTAAAATGGAATATGGGCGCCTATTAACAAAATCCAAATTCGAAGGGGGCGCTTTTTGGAAGGACATGCAGGTGACAAGGTCACTACTGTTCCCATAACAGTAGACTAGTGTGTTAATTAAACCTTACTAACCTTTACGAAAATAGTGTCGTTCACAGTAAAGTTAGCTTTTAACTGCCTCGGTCGAACAAAATATTTAACCAATTCAAAGAAATGGTTATCAGTAGTAGGTCCTAGATATTCCCTTTTCACTTCTCCTAAGTCAGAAACATGCGTGAAGGTCTCCCTTTCAACCTTGCTTAGGTTTTGATTAATCAATGTTACGCAAACCTTTTCCCTAAATTGCTAGGATAATAAGCGGTGAAATTCTTTACGGACAGCCTCTATAAGGACACCTTAGTCAAGAAGATTTGAACCACTCATTGTTCTGTAAATTGTGTCTGTTCCTTAACTTCCACCAACAGACGTTCTGTTTGCTGTGACTGTTCCCTAACTTGCACCACCAATTGTTCTGTTTGCAGTGACTGTTTCTTAACTTGGGGCCACTAATCTATTTGCTGTCACTGTTTCTTAACTTGCACCACCAATCGTTCTGTTTGCTGTGACTAGACCTTAACTTAGGCCTCAAATCGTTCTGATTACTGTGACTGATCCTTAACTTGCACCTTAATCATACTATTTGCTGTGACTGTTCTTTAACTTACGACCACCAATCGTTCTGTTTGCTGTTACTGTTTCTTACCTTGCACCACCAATGGTTCTAATTGCTGTGACTGTTCCTTAACTTGGGGCCACTGATGTTCTATTTTCTGTTAATGTTCCTCAGCTGGGGCCACCGATCGTTCTGTTTGCTGTGACTATTCCTAAACTCGGGCAAACAATCGTTCTGTTTGCTGTGGCTGCTCCTTAACTTGCAACACCAATTGTTCTGTTTGCTGTGACTGTTCTTAACTTGACCCACCGATCGTTCTGTTTGCTGTGACTGTTTCTTAACTTGCACCACCAATTGTTCTGTTCGCTGTCACTGTTCCTTAATTTGCACCACATATCTTTCTGTTTGCTGTGACTGTTTCTTAACTTGCACCACCAATCGTTCTGTTTGCTGTGACTGTTTCTTAACTTGCACCACCAATCGTTCTGTTTGCTGTGACTGTTCTTTAATTTGGGCCAGCAATCGTTATGTTTGCTTTGACTTTTCCTTTACTTATATCACCAATCGTTATGTTTGCTGTGACTGTTCCTTAACTTGGGACAACCAATCGTTCTGTTTGCTGTGGCTGGTCCTTAACTTGCACCACCAATTCTTCTGTTTGCTGTAACTGTTCCCTAACTTGCACTACCAGTCGTTCTGTTTACTGTGACTTTTCCTTAACTTGCACCATCAATCGTTATGTTTGCTGTGACTGTTCCTTAACTTAGGGCAACCAATCGTTCTGTTTGCTGTGGCTGTTCCTGAACTTCCACCACTAATTGTTCTGTTTGCTGTGACTGTTCCCTAACTTGCACCACCAATCGTTCTGTTTACTGTAACTGTTCCTTGACTTGGGCCCCCAATCGTTCCGATTACTGTAACTGTTTCTTAGCTTACACCACCAATCGTTCTGTTTGCTGTGACTGTTCGTTACTTGAGCCACCAATTGTTCTGTTTGCTGTGACTGCTCCTAAACTTAGAGCCACCAATCGTTCTTTTTGCTGTAACTGTTCCTTAACTCGGGCCACCAATCGTTCCGATTACTGTAACTGTTTCTTAGCTTGCACCACCAATCGTTCTGTTTGCTGTGACTGTTCGTTACTTGAGCCACCAATTGTTCTGTTTGCTGTGACTGTGCCTTAACTTGCTCCACCAATCGTTCTGTTTGCTGTGACTGTTCGTTACTTAAGCCACCAATCGTTCTGTTTGCTGTGACTATGCCTCAACTTGCGCCACCAATTGTTCTGTTTGCTGTGACTGTTCGTTACTTGAGCCACCAATCGTCGTGGTGGAACAAATCGTTTTGTCTGCTGTCAATATACGTTTGTTGGGACGAAAATTCGTTTGATTGCTGCAACTCTTTCTGATATGAGAACCTCCAAACGTTCTGTGTGCTTTGACTGTTCCCTTCTTGGACCAAAAATGGTTCTTCTCGCACCACCTCTTTCGGAAATGGGAACCTCAAATGGTTTTGTCTGCTTTGAATGTTCCTTACTGGGCCCTCCAATCGTTATGGTTGCTGTGACTGTTCCTTAACTTGGACCTCCAATCGTTCTGATTGCTGCGACTGTTTGTTAAATTGGGCCACCGATCGTTCTCTTTGTTGTGACTCTTCGTTACCAAGGTAGAGCAAATCGTTCTGTCTACTGTCACTGTGCGTTTGTTGGGCCAAAAATTCGTTTGATTGCTGCAACTCTTTCTGAAATGGGAACTGTGTGCTTTGACTGTTCCCTTCTTGGACCAAAAATGGTTCTTCTCGTACCACCTCTTTCGGAAATGGGAACCTCAAATGGTTTTGTCTGCTTTGAATGTTCCTTACTGGGGCCTCCAATCGTTGTGGTTGCTGTGACTGTTCCTTAACTTGGACCTCCAATCGTTCTTATTGCTGTGACTGTTTGTTAAATTGGGCCACCGATCGTTCTCTTTGTTGTGACTCTTCGTTACCAAGGTAGAGCAAATCGTTCTGTCTGCTGTCACTGTGCGGTTGTCGGGCCAAAAATTCGTTTGATTGCTGCACCTCTTTCTGAAATGGGAACTGTGTGCTTTGACTGTTCCTTTCTTGTACCCACAATAGTTGCTGTTGTACCAACCGTTTCGGAAATGGGAACCTCAAATGGTTTTGTCTGCTTTGAATGTTCCTTACTTGGGCCTCCAATCGTTGTGGTTGCTGTGACTGTTCCTTAACTTGGACCTCCAATTGTTCTGATTGCTGTGACTGTTTGTTAAATTGGGCCACCGATCGTTCTCTTTGTTGTGACTCTTCGTTACCAAGGTAGAGCAAATCGTTCTGTCTGCTGTCACTGTGCGGTTGTCGGGCCAAAAATTCGTTTGATTGCTGCACCTCTTTCTGAAATGGGAACTGTGTGCTTTGACTGTTCCCTTCTTGGACACAAAAAAATGGTTCTTCTCGTACCACCTCTTTCGGAAATGGGAACCTCAAATGGTTTTGTCCGCTTTGAATGTTCCTTACTTGGGCCTCCAATCGTTGTGGTTGCTGTGACTGTTCCTTAACTTGGACCTCCAATCGTTCTGATTGCTGCGACTGTTTGTTAAATTGGGCCACCGATCGTTCTCTTTGTTGTGACTCTTCGTTACCAAGGTAGAGCAAATCGTTCTGTCTGCTGTCACTGTGCGTTTGTTGGGCCAAAAATTCGTTTGATTGCTGCACCTCTTTCTGAAATGGGAACTGTGCGCTTTGACTGTTCCCTTCTTGGATCAAAAATGGTTCTTCTCGTACCACCTCTTTCGGAAATGGGAACCTCAAATGGTTTTGTCTGCTTTGAATGTTCCTTACTTGGGCCTCCAATCGTTGTGGTTGCTGTGACTGTTCCTTAATTTGGTAGCACTGATCGCTCTGTCTGCTGTGACTGCTCCCCACTTGAGCCTCCAATTGTTCTGATTGTTGTGACTGTTCCTTAACTTGGGCTTCCAATCGTTTTGATTGTTGTGACTGTTTGTTAACTTGGGCCACCAATCGTTCTCTTTGCTGTGATTCTTCCTTAACTTGGGCCACCAATTGTTCTATTTGCTGTGACTGTTTTTTAACTTGGGCCATCAGTCGTTCTCTTTTCTGTGACTCTTCCTTAACTTGGGCCTCCAATCGTTCTGATTGCTGTGACTGTTCCTTAACTTGGGCCTCCAATCGTTCTCTTTTCTGTGATTCTTCCTTAACTTGGGCTTCTAATCGTTCTGATTGCTGTGACTGTTTGTTAACTTGGGCCATCATTTGTTCTCTTTGCTGTGACTGTTTCTTCACTTGGGCCTCCAATCGTTCTCTTTGCTTTGACTGGTCTTTAACTTGTGCCACCAATCGTTCTAGTTGCTGTGACTGTTTCTTAACTTGGGCCATCAGTCGTTCTCTTTGCTGTGACTCTTCCTTAACTCGGGCTTCCAATCGTTCTGATTGCTGTGACTGTTTATGAACTTGGGCCACCAATCGTTCTCTTTGCTGTGATTCTTCCTTAACTTGGGCTTCTAGTCGTTCTGATTGCTGTGATTGTTCTTTAACTTGGGCCTCCAATCGTTCTCTTTGCTGTAACTGTTCCTTAACTTGGACCACCAATCATTCTGTTTGCTGTGACTGTTCCTTGACAATGCTGACTAGATCATTAACCTGCAACCGATTGGCGTCGAGGCAATGGAGGGCTAGACTTAAGTGACGTTCAACTTGGGACCTTGAATGCGAACTGGTGTTTGATCGTGCAAACTAGAAAGAGCATGGCAATTTAAGCTATTATGTAAATCGATGTAAATGTTGAAGTTGTTCGTGGAGGTGCATTAGTAATAGGCGCATAAACCTAACCTTTTTCGCAATGCCTAACCTACAGCACTAACTCTTTAAAACGATTGACTCTGGAAAGCTGATTTACTAACTTAGAATAGCTCCCCTCAACAGCTGTCAACTACTACCGACCCCTTACAAACGACTTATTCGCTACATTGACATCACAAACGAACCAAATAGAACGACCTTACTTTACAGACGGATCGAAACTAACCAATCTTGAGCGACCTACACCACTTTAGTCTAAGAGACAATACCATCACGGCTAAACTGACCAATCAGTTTACACGAAGCAGACTTAGTACATTCGACTGAGAGCAACTATTTACTTCACTCTGATGATGAATTCCCCTCAGGTTATCTAAAACTCAGTCGTTACTACCAACAACAGTATTTCTCAGGACTACATTCACCCGCACGATCGGACTACACCACCAGAAGAGTTTGTTTGTCCTTTTGAAGTTTAAGATTTTGCACATGTTACCCTCGAGTTCAAACCATTTACTGTATTGCTATCAAAATTAACTGTTTGAACCTCGGTAAGCAACCATAACCTGTGACACCTTTGATCGATAACGGTATCTGATTTTACGTCTTGTAGGCTTTTGCAGGATAACCTTTCTTTTCAGGCTTATTGCTCGTATTTTTCCTTGCCTCGTAAATATACTACGCATGGTATGGTATGGTTTACACTGTAAGAGAAATAATTTTCAGGCAAGTCCATACCATAGCCTCGCATCCTAAGTTTCTGTATTCACAGTGGACTTCAGTTTCGGGACATTCATCGCGAATGTGAACCTCAAGCTATAAAAAAAAGCAACAACAAAAATTATGAACCGTTCGTCATGAACCGGTAAAAATGAAATGTGGCTTTCGGCATGGACGATTGCTTAGCTTTTTGTCCTCGTGAAGACTTCAGTTCTGGGAACACCAGATCGATCTATGATCTGCAACGATATGGCTCGCATATAAACATGTTAAAAATATTTCTGGATTAACCCTAATCTTCATAGCTGAACCTAATATTCCATAGCCCTTTTTCGTTAATCTCAGCCTAAAACTTCAGATGGCCTCTATATGTTTCATTGGACCATTGTCGAAATATTTGGATTTCTTCTCTTAGAGACCAACTGGGGCACATTCAAGGTAAGCATGCTGTTTCTGATAGGAGCCTTAATGCCTGCTTATGATTGGTGTAAACAAACCTTTTCTCGTGGAATCGCTCCAAGGCCGCAGTTATTGGTGCACTGAACAGGAAACTTTGGGCAAACTTCTAAATGGTCCTGGAGAACAAAGGAGAACATGTTTTAATATGATGCTGCGTAACACCTGTACCGCGAACAACCTGCAAACTGTTTGACTTACCAGTGAAATTGGTTCTCAACAACAGCAGATAACTAAGCGACAGCAAAGTAATTTTAATCATAGCTTGGGATAAAAAAAAGTGCAAGAGGTTGTCAAACCTTCTCGCGACTCTCTCTCGAAATAAATTAAATTTGATGAAAACTCCCGCGAAATTTTTGACGGAGGAACGACCAAATCAACTTAACAAATATATCAAATAAATAATTCCTCTTTCTCTGGAAAATGATGGTGATCTTTTGGCGTTTTCGCTGTGTAAAGGGTTCGTTGCACACTTGAATTTCCCGAGATGCACAAGGCGTAGAAAATTATCATTTGGTCTTGAGAATTTGCAATGCGATCAATGTCACAAAGCCATTGATTTAATCAGAATTGTTTTTAGCGCTCATAGAGTTCTTCATTTAGCTTTCATAAGTAGCTAATAACGTGTGTTGTTACGACTTTTCTCAGGGCTGAAATCCTTGTGTAACACGGTAGTTTATATGATAATAAACTTTTGAACGCAGGGAACCTTCGTAGCCATATTGTCACGCATCGCCCTCCTCAAAAGTTTAAGGGGAACAGTTACCCGACGTCCCAAAGAATGGCTGCGAGGGAAAGGGGACCTTACAACCTAGAGTAAAAGTGCAGCTGAAACATTTTTTTTCTTAGACGTTCTCATAGAAGAAGATAGTGCAATGTGTAAATATGTCAATTACATAAATTGAAGGCTGGCAGTACACTGGAAAAGAATTGCAGCTTTGGGAGAGACACTGGCATATGGAAAGTACCCTTTGCCGTGCTGACAACTAAGCAATATAAGTGGATCTAAGTAAATTTTATTGAAAGTTCATTTGTTTATATGGATGTCTACATACCCGCTTTTCATGAAAGACGAATGATTCTTGACAATGTTCACAGCTGATTTTCCTCCAAGAACATTCAAATGATTCGTGAACCGTCATGTCTTTCTTGGTAAGCCTCTCTGTACATCCTGAGTTTGAACATAGCACTTCTTTCAACAGGCATTCTGACTGGTGTTTCTACAAATGTAAAAGACAGAGTTTTTATATTTATTGCACATGTCCCGTTAACATTCCTCATCAACACCTTTTTCGCTTCAATTTCCTTCGTTCGGAAGTAATTTTTCCTTCCATTTTGCGTAAATCTGACACGCTTTCAGATCAAGTAAAAAACCTTACTTACTGGTGGCACGAACGTAAATTTCCTCAAATAAAGTAAGCTAAAATGGCAAATTTTAAAGTACGTTTGAACAGAAGTCCGCCGGTTCGATTTCACCTCAATAGACTGAAATGTTAGAGTAGGATAAGTACACCGATTTTTGTTTAAGAAAAGGTCACGAATAATTAAGTTTTTTTCATATCAGACAGCTCAGTTATACCTCAACAGCACGCAGTTCTCCAGTCCATGAACATCCAAAATGAGGACATTTCACGGTCAGATCCAGTATCTCGCGACGATGGGCAGAATCTGGAAATATCTGCCAGAATAAGAATTATTTCAAATTCGTATCCGTGTAATCCAAGTCCAAGTGTAATCCAAGTCCAAGTGTAATAAAGCAATGTAAGAGCGGCTGGGACTTTAAGTTAGCCGCATATGGGTTCCTACTTTGGCCTATGTTTCATCTGAAAACTCCGTTATGCACTCTGGACTTGCGAAAATTTATTTGGAACATTTTCTGATGTTTCTTACGCTCATGGAACAAAAATTCACACGATAAAATCATATTTTATGTACGTATCAGCTTTCCGGGCCGCTGATTCAATGTCGAGCGACAAAAAATTACGAAATTAGATATCGCTATATTTTCATAACACAGAAACCCGCGACGCTGAAACCTCTTCAGAAAATTAATTTTTAGGTTTGTCTTTCGGAAAAATTGTAATAGCCCTTATTATTTTGGATTTTGAATTTTTACGACGTCACGTGAAATTGCAGATGATGGTGGCAATCTAAAAGCATCATAGACTGCACATGCCGGTACGCACAAAATATCAGTCTTAAAAATGGCCGATATATTTCGAAATACTTAAACTATTAATATCAAATACGTTAACGAAACTTAGATGTGAGTGAACAGTACGGAGAGTTTCTTTGGAACAAACATTCCAATAGATATGACGTGAAGCGACGATAGAACAGACAAGAGAAAACGGGATTTTCTTCAGGCTACCTGACTTTCTCCTCACATATTACATGCGGTTAAGTGACCTGTTTACATAGAAACGCTTACCTTGTCACGTGACAATGGTTCCCTATCTGCTGGACACAATGGCGAGGGGCGTCTGTAAACAGTCAGAGAATAGAAATAGAAATGATATGTTTTTTTAAGAATACAATTCATAATTGTGAAAGGAAACCATAGTCATGGTGGCATGAGTAGAATTAAATAAGTACAGTAATGGAAATTGAGTGGGAAAATGAAGTATTCTAATTCAGAACATTGTTCTTTCGAGGAAATGAAAGTTAAAAATTAATCTTGACCTCCGAATCCTTATAACTCTCGTAAAAATGCGTTGATTACTAGGACGAACTGAAGATGCTAAATTTAGGATATGGATCAATTATATTTTGTGTTCCAGATATAGTTGTTGTACAGCGTAAAATGCCGGTGAAATAACTACATGCAAAGTTACATTCGGCATTACCGCAAGAGTGATTCCATACAGATGTTGCAGAGTCTGTGTCCACATCCTACAATCTGAACTGGATCCTTCATTGGTAGATGGCACACGAGACATTCACAGTTATCAGGAACTTTGCCCGTGAACTCGTAGTCATATCCGCCAAGTTCTGGTAAGTTTGGGCTCGCCGCCATGATAGTTTGGCTATCGACGGGAATGAAACCGAAACAGGAAGTTTGAGGTGGGTTGCGTGATATCTCCCAATCCCCATCTTCCTTTCTCGAGAGAGAACGTACAGCAAAACTCCTGGGGACAGGTGATAGTGGCCTTTGTAGAGTGGTGGGGAGTTGGGGTTGTAAATTTGACAAAAAAAGACGCTCAACATGTACTCTTTAAATGCGTAGCATAATCATATTAATTTAATTCAAACCAAACGTTATGTTTCGTTCAGAAGACAAGCTTAAACAAAACAAAAGGAGTAGGGTAAGACGAGTCCTTTGATTCGTGGAAGATTTGATTCACTTTCGGTATTGTAAACATATTTTTTTCTCCCTCTGTGAAGTGAAGCTCCTAAATTTTGTATGCTCGAGCAAGATGTCACTGATTCAGTACACCAATTATCGTCATATGGTGATTAACTGGCTGTTGTCGTGACTTCTCGTTTATCTATTTATTTTTGTTATCTAAAGCCCTTTTTTTTTTTAAAGCTGTTTCCATAACAGAGAGGTTTATGCAAGAGTTCATGTACGACAGGCCGGTAGGAGGAAAAAGATAGGATTGTATGAAGGACAGAGCTTGTCAAGGTTCGTATGTATTCTCTAAAAGGTTACTGGGAACGAGGATGGATTTCTCTGTAAGTGAAGGGTGCGTAAAAACTGTGAAGAACTGGTTGCTTCAATCGTGGCATGTACTTGTTATTCGATTCGAAAATACTTAGAGATCTTCACAGTGTATTTGTCCATGTGATAGTTTGCAAAGCAGCCGTCTAATTAGGGCGAGTAAACGTTACGTGTCCGCAATCGTTTATTCGTCCTCTCACGTCTGATTTAGAGTTAGAGTGGACTGGGTGAGGCCCACCCGGCCGTCCTCCCCCTCCCCTCCCTTCCGTCGCTCACCCCCTTGGTACAAATTTATTTCTCTCCCCAGCCTACTGCTGCTGAAAAAGTCAAAGAAGGCAGCTATGATTTTCTCAACGAAATCGCCAGGCACTCGCTTGTCAAAATGACGCCTGCTCTCCAGGTTATCCTTGTAACGTCATAAAGAAAACGGTTTTTTTTTTTGGGCGGGGGGGGGGGGGGGGAATGTTGAATTTTTTGGAAAAAAAGATTAACCCTCTGACCCATAGGAGTGGCTAGCATCTTAGTTCTTCTTACAGTGTCAGCCCTGAATCACACATGAAGGTCACGAGAATAAAAGAAGTGGTCACCAACTAAAGAAGCTTATGATCGTTAAACACCTTTTCCTTTTCAGTACTTTAGGGAACATATGTGGAATAGTATTAAGAATATTCATACTGATGTTAGGGTGTAAATGGCTTAACCCTTTACACCCTAACATCAGAATGCATATTCTCCATACTGTTCTCCATACATTTCCAAAGAGGCTGACAAGGAGAATTTGTTGAACAACCAAGAGCTGCTTAAGTTAGTGATCATCACCTCTATTCTCACGAATTTCATGTTTGTTTCAGGGGTCATATTGCAAGGAGAAAATAGATGCTTGTCACTCAGCGGCTAAAGAGTTAAGGAAAGTGGGATGGCGAAACCTCTTGTTCGATCCCTTCCACCGCCTCTAAGAGATCAACGCTCACACTTAAATCGAAATTTAAAAAAATTTTATTTAGAGAGGGTGAAATGGCACGATATAACTCTCACTGCAAAAATACAGATACTCCGAATGGATTCAAATACATCTTCTTTCCGCCACAAGGCAACGAGGTGCGCATCAAAAGTCGAAATGTCTCGACTAACTGAAAACAGCCACCCGTCCTCGATCTCCGGAAGGTTATCAGGTGAAGTTTGTTTTCTATTCACACAAACAATAGCTGTCGCTTTAACGGAGTGTTTTATGGTGAACCGAAAGGCAAAAAAATATTACATGATTCGACAAGATTCTTTTTTGACTATAACCAAATTCATACCATAGAAATATACTCCTTTCATTACATTATTTATGCATATTTACTGGACAGCACCCACCTCTTTAACTTAAAATTCTACAAGCCTTTGTAAACATAAGTGGACTGAACCAACTGTAAAAGTGTGAGCCGGAGCCATAACAGTAAACCATTTGCGTAATAACAACAAACACAAGATGAGGTTTCAAGTCAACGTTTATTTCAAAGTCAGATAAAATAAGGGCCAAACAGATTTAAACCGTGTTTGACAAAACAGCTTTAAAAAATGTTTAAGCCCTAGTAAGAATGGGTTTTAAGTCATTAACCTTCTTATGAAGGCTGAACTTTTTCCTCTTCCGTACTTGCTGTGATGAGAACAGCATCGTTAACTGTATAAGATCTGTTATATAACTCATTTGCTGAGGCAAACATTGTACCAAATTCGCAGTCACCGGTTATCGTAAGAGCTTTAAAAGTCGCTCGGTCGCGTTGGTCGCTCTCCTCCTGGCATGGATTCTGATCAATTATTGCTACGTGTATTTTTTCTACAAATGGCCATGATAGTGACTTGTCAAATTCTCCAGGGACATTTACAGAAAACCTGAGCCCCACTCACTCAACTTTTCAAGCATCATTTTGATTCTTAACACAGAGAAAAGGATTCACTCAGTAAAACTTGTTTAAACCCTGTTTTTGCTTTGCCAAGAAGAGCATGAAGGTGGGGCGCTTTCCATACAAATGGATCATTCGCAATCTCCAGCTTTTTTATCTGCTCTGACTGTTCCCTAACTTGAGCTGTCATTGGTTGTTTCATTTCTTGATCTTTGCGCAATGTTCGCCCCAAGAAGTTGTATTTTGACTTTCCTTTATCCATTGGTGTCGCTCGCATCTGCTGTGAATTTTCATGATCTTTGGACATCAGCCATTGTACATGCTGTGAATTTTCTTGATCTTTGGACATCAGCCATTGTACATGCTGTGAATTTTCTTGATCTTTGGACATCAGCCATTGTACATGCTGTAAATTTTTTTTTGATCTTTGGACATCAGCCATTGTACATGCTGTGAATTTTCTTGATCTTTGGACATCAGCCATTGTACATGCTGTGAGTGTTCTTGATCTTTGGACATCAGCCTTTTAACATCTAGTGACTGTTCTTTAACTTCAGCCATCAATCTCTCCATCTGTTGTGTCTTTTCTTGATCACTGGACATCAATCGCTCTATCTGCTGTGATTTTTCTTTGACAAGGCTGACAAGATCATGAACTTGTAACCGAGTGGCCTCAAGGCAATGTAGGGCTAACCTCAAATGACCTTCAACTTCGGACTTTGAATGAGAATCGGTGTTTGATCTTGGAAACTATAGGCATCAAGGAATAGATCTTTTAAAATTTAAAGTTTTGAATTCAGTTGCGCTTCCTAATCTGTTTTTTCGCGGTTTATCTTTTCTTGCCCAATAGACTCGAAACTTTGAGTTTTTTATTTAATTCTTGATTTTAAGCATCAAAGTCTCGTTGAACTTGGGGACTACATTAAATACTTTAAGTTGTGGATTCCCCTCTGACAGTACAAGCTTCGATTAAGCTTTGGTAAACAACCTTCTCGGACTAGAGTTGCCTAAATACCTATTTAAAACCTGTTTCACACTGACAAGCTGCTTCACAGCATATGAGGAATGGAGTTTAATCAAGTTTGAAAACAGTTCCATACCATAGCCTTGCATCCCAGGCTCTCGTATTCGCAGGTAACTGCAGCTTCAGGACATTGGTAACGAATGTGAACTTCAAGCTGTAAACAACAATAAAAACGATGACTCATTTGTTGTAAACAGGACAAGGCATTCCAAGTTCATGAAACAATGGAAATGGAAATTTCCACTCATATATTAACCAAATTCTTCTTCATCCCTTTTGATGCTCTTGCAAACCTTCTTAAGCTATTCTTTCTAAACCATTCTGTAAGCTTTCAATTCTTGACAGGCTTACTTTTTGTTGATACCCAAAGCTTGTAGACTCGGAGAAAATTGTTGTAGCCAATCTTGATTTTCTAAAGCCCTCGTTCAGTTCTACTATCAATGACCTTCATTTCGAATTTAAAAATTGTTAAAATAAAAGTGAGCTTCCCTATCGAGTGATCTAACTGTGAGCCAATTCGAATAATTAAAATCACTTAACTTTGATGCAAACGAACCTTGTCTGGTGGAATTGGTGCACTGAACTGGAAACTTTTGGCAAACATCAAAATGTTTCTAGACAAAAGTAGAGAACACGTTTGAGCACGATGACACATTTCACTCCAGGACCGGTTAAACTCGCGAATAGTGTAGGGCAATCTAACGCAAATAATTAAAAACTTGGCTGTCAAAAAAGAGAAAATGTTCTCAACAAGTAAGCTACCCACACAAATTAAAGCAGCAGCATACTCCGAACCAAACATTTTTGATATTAAAGATGTAGCTCAACATGATAAAAATATGAAAACGTAGCACTTGCCACAGTTTGAGATTCCGTACAGCCTTTCGAAATCGCCTTTAAAATGTACTAAAATTCGCCTCCCAACGCCGGTATTTAAAGCTTGATCACACTCGCGTGACGTTTCAAATTTCATTGAAATGGTGGAAACAAGAAAACAAAAACTCATAATTTGAGTCAAGGCAGAGATGATGTTATGTGGTGCCATGGATATGCTCCTCCTTTATGTTTATAATTATAAAAGAATCCCCTTTCGTTCCCGTATTGAACGTCAATGGCCCGTAATTGTCATTATGGAATTACGGACAATGATCTCGTCAATCTAAGTGAGGAATGTATCGCCCTGAAACTGAAAAACAACAGAATTAAGATGACGTGTTGATGATATCTGCATACCTGCTTTTTATGAGACAGGATTGATTCTTGACAATATTCACAATTTATTCTTCTCCAGGAACATTCGAATGCCACGTGAACTGACATGTCCTGCTGGGGCAGCTTCTCTGTACAACCTGGGTTTGAATACTGCACTTCTTTTAACAGGCATTCGGATTGGTGTTTCTGTAGGTGACATATTGCCTTAGCTTTCTCAAAACATATGAAAGGTGTGCTGTGAAAGTCTTGCTCTACGCTCACTCAAGTAAAGCAATAATCCTCGCAGTTAAACAGCAATTTAAGCAATTGAAGAAAAAGGGCCTGGAAAAATTCAGGGAGCGAGGCAAATTTTAGATGGTTAATCTTCTATCACGTAGTGGAGGCTGATCACAATTTTAAACGAAAACAAATTTCATTTGACCTGTGTGGCCACACTGAAAAAGGAATTGATGTTTTAGAGATTTCAGGCTAAAAATGTATACGTAGATGACGTATGAGAGAGGATCGAGTAGAAGGAAAGATAGAGGAGACGAAATATGAGGTTGAGGAAGTAGTTCTTGGTAAGAATAGTTATCGCTGGGATTGTGTCTGTTAAGTCAAAACGTCGCAAGTTTAAGTCCTGTGACGACATTGAATGCCTTGTCTTCTCGCTAAAGGTAATTTTTTTCTCTGCCTTAGTTGTACCTCTGCAGCAAGCAACTCTCCAGTCCATGAACATCTAGAATGCAGACACTTCACGGTCAGATTCAGAATTTCGCGATGAAAGGCAGAATCTGGAAATATCTACCAAAATAAAAATTTATTCTAAATTTATTCTAAAAACATTTCCAGACATACAACAGCCAGCTTTTTATAAGGTAATCGAGAGCCCACCGAGAATTCTACTCCTTCGTCGAGCTACAATTTTGTTCCAACAAAAAGTAGATGGATAGTTTTCTTGGAACTAGTTTTAACGTTTTTACTGTTACGTGATGGGATTTTTTACAACCTGAATGAAGGACACCTTCTGACATATTGACTTTAATTTTATCCAAGCCTGCTAGTTTTCAATAGACCATCTATAGGAAGGCAAAACCGTAAATTCGAGTCTTTTTACAAAGCATGGATAGCATTGCGTGAACCGTCTAATCTCTTACCCTGTCACGTGACAATGGCTTCCTGTCCGCTGGGCACAACGGTGAAGGGCTTCTGATGGTCAATCAGGGAAGAGAGATTGTATCACTTTTTAAAGTAGGAAAACATATAAAGCCCTGGGCCATGAATAGCGAATGACGCACTCAAGCAAACACATTTAAGAATGGAAATTAGCTTGAAAACTGACTCTTAAACATTCCTATGCAAAATATCGATCGTACTCTCAAATAAATCTTTGATGTTTGTATTACTGGCGTGCGAATTCGATACTTAAGTATTGTTAGTTTGTAAACGTTTGAGCAGACTCGCGGTTTGTGAAACTGCTAGCAGTGTTGTGCAAATTTTATGTTTTCTACATTTACCGCAAGAGTGATTCCATGCAGATGAAGCAAAGTCTGTGTCCACATCCTACAATCTGAACTGGATCTTTCATTGGTAATTGACACACAAGACATTCACAGTTATCACGAACTTGGACCGTGAATTCGTAATCATATCCGCCAAGTTCTGGGGTCTTGCGAGCAGCCGCCATGTTTACTTCGCCTCGACGACTTGGTGCCTCTATGATTTGAATAAAGTGTACAAGATCTTGCGTGATATCTCAGTGCGTGGGGCGTGACGTCACTCTTCCTCTGAGTTTTCCGTCCGTTGTCTGATGAGATATTTATCTAGCGGTTAGGTGGTTAGGTTAATGAACAAAACAAACAAAAGATAACAGCGATGAGACATTTTGCAATTTTTAAACGTCTTCAATCTTGTGAGTCGTTTTTCTTTTGTGAAATTTTCGGTAACGGAAACAATATTTTGAGTCGGATCTCATTCGTGGCCAAGTGCTTAATGTAAACCAAATTATCGAGCCCGTATTTTAGGGATATTTCGTTGATTGAGACGACCTCAGAGTGTCTTTTTGCCCCTTAAACAAAATCCTAGGTATTTGCCGAGCTAAATTTAGTGAAACAGGTAAAACTAGCTGATACGTAAACATAGGCCGAGTACCAGAGATTTGCAGACGGAAATTGTGATCAATCAAATTATCATTAATAATTTAACTCATAGGAATATATCTTCCTGATAAACGTCAACTGTAAAATGCCTTAAAAATTAACTGTCGGCCGTGGAAGAATCGGGCCTACTACATCTCTTCGACTTTAGGAAACTCGTATCAGCACCCGTATCACCTATTTAATTAACAGCAGAAGTAATGTCAGTGGGAGAGGGAGGCTGGGGGAAGCAAGCGGACTGACAGAAATCCCTTGTTTGGTGTTTCATTTGCCCATAGACAGAATTTAATATAAATAAGTAGCACCAAAGAAATACTAACAACAAAAGAAATGATATAAGAAACCTGCTTCCAAGTTTCTTCTTTCCCGACAAAAGAATACACTGAGGAAAAACACTTAAGAAAAAAATTATGTTGTATTTTGTTTCTGTAATTTGTGGGGAAAACGATCGACAACGTCGAAGCCTGCCGCAACTTCAAGATCCGGCCATAACGAGAATACGATTATGCCATAGACGTATAGGCCGTTTTTTTGTTTATGACATAGTAAGCTATTTCACCCAAAGTAAATCGTGGACCATGAAATGTAAAGATGCTCCGAAGGAATATGGCTTTAAATGATGCATTGCGATGCCTCTTGCAAAGAATGCCAAGTGATCCTTGTTTTGAACTTTGTGTTTTGTTGTGAATATGTGTGTATTTGAATTATCATTACCTAGGTAAATTTTTTCCTATTAACAACTCGTTTTGCCCTCCGATATGAATATCACCGAGTTGAGGAAGGCTCGTATCAATTGACATATGTTGGTCACACCTATTCTAATACAACTTTTTAAGACATGTGACCCTTATTGTAATAATTTTAAGCCAATTTCATGAACTCCTTAGAGTGGTCAAGAGTGGCAACATTACGTGATCAGCCAGGATGCAATAGTAAATAGTTATTGTGCGGAAAATCATTAACCTACAACAAATACGTTGAGAGTGCAGATACCTTTAAATGTGAAATTCTCTCTTTTAAGAACTACATGAGCTTTTTCATATAGATGTCTCATGTCTTTGTTGTTAATGTCTTTCTTCTTCTTCTTTCTGTTACTCATTTTTGCAATTGAGATAATATACTAAATTTATTAATTTTGTTTTAGAATTATCCCTTTTGTCCTTTCTGAGTAGACACAAAATTTTCTGCAGTGGTATGCTTAAGCTATGTGCGCGAATATAGTTGCGGGTAGCGTTAAAACGAAGGGTACTCTTTGATCAAAATTAAGTCATGGACTTATCCCTGGAAATAGTTCATATCACATTTAAGTTAGTTACACGACTGATGTATTACCTAAGTGAAGTGGGTGTTGCCCTCCACTGACCACTTGGTTGATGATGAATGCAATCAATGGGCGACTGATAGCGCGACAGATCACGTGGTTATATTGCCATAGTCAGTGCGATGGTTCGTGGCGCTGTAATTGCGTCATTAATGATGCTAGTGTAAAGTTAGTACATTTACGTTCTAATGTAATCAACATGAACTAGCTTAATGCATTGAAGTCCAAATGTTGTCGCACTTCGGCAACGGTTACCATTTAGGGCCAAAATTCATTTCAAATAATTGGGCAATCTAGGTCATGTTTGATAGGTTTGTAGTTACAAAATATATGATAAAAGATTTATATCGAACAAAAAAATTTATTTTTCTCTTTGGTCATTTCTTTTCTTTTAAAAATATAAAATTAATCACAAGAGTAGCAGACTCTATATTTGAAGTGATCACACTCGTTTTTGCACCATATACGACGTACCTGGCTTCTCCTCTCAAATCTCCATTGATAATAATTTCATGAAATGAAATCTGTATAAAGGTGGAAAAATATAGTTTTAGTATATATATATATATATATATATATATATATATATATATATATATATATATTTGGTGTGTCCCCAAGGGGATGAGGAGGGCTAATCTCGCTTCAGTATGACTGGGATGTCAGAAGTGGGGAAGGGTTGGCGGAGCTTTATAAAAGGGCGGAAATTTTGAGGTGAAACTGGAGTAGCTATTGTCATGTTCTTGTCGGTGGTAGTTTTACCTAGAGTCTGGCATTCAAGGTGTAAAATCCAGACTGCTTGTGATTGTCGCGATTTCCATGGCATTAGAAAAGAGGATAGGATGTTAACCCATCTTGGGTTTTCCCTTGGTATCCCTAATAGTTCGCTGGTTCGTATTTGCATTCCTTTGTGGACAGAGACTCTGTGAAATTGATGCGCCTTGCTAAAGGACACACCGCTTAGTCATGTAGAATTTCCATTTTCAAAGGTTAGCTATTTTTCGAAATTGTGCTGAGGAGCAAGATTCCTTTTCTGTCCAACTTGCCTTTCTCAGGGAGCAAGGACTATATGAACTTACTATAGCAGACCACTGCTTTGCTCTTCATCTCTTTGCTGTACGAGACACTGATTACTGTTTTCTTACTCTCAGGCAGAGGTCCGAAAATACGTTTGAGAAAAAAAAATTTAAGAAATCAAGTTTTGTGGTTGTAATGCTCTTTTTTTCTTTTGTAGCGCTTTTTTAAGGACGTCGAGGCTCGTACATTTATGATTATTCTCACATCTTTCCAGCTTTACCACCTGCAACATGGTTTTCCCCGTAGGAAGGTTCATCGTCACTCAGCTACTCCCAGTCTATCATTAGGTGACCGAAACCTTAGCTTACGGCAAAGAGATTGACCTTATTTATTTAGGCTTTCCTAAAGCATTTGACAAGGTCCCTCGTTGCGCTTTGCCAAACGAGTTAACTCGCTTTGGCGTATCTTGGTTGCTAATGGAGTGGTTTCAGAGTTACCTTCCTAACAGATACCAACGAGTAGCATAGAAAGATCCTTTTTCTGGCTGGCTAAAAGTAATATCTGGTGCGACGCAAAGCTCCGTAATGAGCCCGCTGCTCTTCATCTCCTACATATATAACGTTCCCGAATAGATTACAAATGGCTCTTGTAGACGACTCCAAGTTTTTCAAGGCCAACGAGAAGCCTTCTGATAAGATTTCGCTTGAACAAGGCCTGACACAACTCTCTAACTGTACCGAAGTTGTGCCTGAGCAATAAGCCTCACCAAACCCAAGAGGCAAGGACTTAAAAATCTCCAGGAAGAAACTGCCTTAAAAAGAGAATACTCCCTGCATGGGATTTCAGTGGCTGCATTTGCTGAAATTATGGACCTGGGCGTCACCGACAAACTTTAATGGTCTCAACACATGCATAAAGTAGATTTCCTTAAAAGCAAACCGAACCGACCTTTGGATTTAATCGCACGACCTGTAGTGATGTCACTGATACTGATACCAGAAAACGCTTTTACTGCTCAAGAGTTCGACCAAGTTAGAGTACGCATGTGAACTATGGTCACCGAACGCCTTGAAGGACAAGCTTTTGCAAGAGAATGTCCAGCGCAGGGCCACGACATTTCTTAGGAATTATCCGAGGGATAGCCCTTCAAGGATCGGCTAAAATTTCTCTGTTGCCACTTGAATAAAGAAGAGAAATTAAAGACTTGGTACTCCATCTAGAGCTAGTCTCGTGTACCTCGGCCTTAAAGATTTCTTCCACCGGATCCAATGGATCTATATCAGAGAACGCGAAATTCATACAAACTTTAATATAAATTTTCTAAAGATATTATATTATTACGGGTCCGCTTTTCTCACTCGTAACAAATAAGCAACGGACAATGAAAGTATGAATTCAGTTCCCATATATAAAGGCAGCCTTTAACCTCTTATAGTTTAAAAACTCGTTCTTATAATCCTCCAAAAAGCAGGGTATAGGTTGACAGCGCAAATGAACAAGGAATGGGAGGGCCATGCATTTTAAACTTATTTTTAGTTTAAGTACACCTTCTTTTTATTGACTTGCTATCTCATTTGATATTTACGTTTATTGGGGCTGGGCATCAATACGCCTGTCCCGATTGTGCACGGCAACTTTTGAACACCTTTTGGCGTTTGGTGTAACTTTTTGTGGTTCTGGCAACTTCGAGCAATTTTTGCCTTTCTGAGTAGTTTTTGAGCAAAATAGAGGTTTAGAGTACATCGGCAAGCGCGAAAAAACGATTTAATGAAAAACTAGCTCATAACCTGTCACTTGACAACGCAGGCCTTTTGCGATCTTTATCTAATATTGCGACGGATAATTGGTTGCAATGATGTTCGACGAGACGTCAAATAAACCATATGTTTTGTTCCGTTCAGACTTTAAATCGCCCATTTTCGCGAGTAACTCCAAAGCCAAATTTTAAGCTATTTTTCTTATCTGACCGATGAAAGCAATTATTGGGAAGAACGAAAAATAAAGCTTTTGATTAACGTTTATATAAAAATATCAAGAAATTTAGGTAGAAACTTTCTGGATTTTTAGCAATTTTTTAGCAACTTTTTGGCATTTTAGTGAGCAACTTTCCAGGATTTTATGAGCACAATCTGGACAGGCCAAGACGTCAATTGGGACATTGCCCTGTCTTTTGCTCCAGTTGCTGTTTAATACTTATTATCTTACTTATCTAGCTAAATTGTTCATTTATGTAAGTAAGGATGCAACGTATTCAATAAGTCAAATCAAATCGCTGCACCGGTATCACAGAGGTCATAGGTTCAACTCCCGTACAGGCCTGAATTTTTTTCAGGCTTTATTTCCACTACTGCTTAAATTGTGTACACAACTGCGATAATCACTTTCATCTTCATTCAATAATAGAGAGTTGGTCCCGGAGAATTTCGCCTTCATAATTATGGCCACTTACAGAAAAGTTGCTCGTAACGGTGATTTCACTACCCATGCAAGTATGAAAAAGTTAACATATTACGCGTTATTGACTGTGGAAGTAAATTAGATCCCTATCCCAGGCATATTACTGACCAGCACTACTTCGATTACCGTGTATCCTTTTCAGCGTATACTGATTGCTGTTACAATCTCCATCATGTTTAATGAAAGGCGCAATTTCTATCCTAGTCAATAAAGAACGCTACTAACAGTAATCAACTATCATTAGAACGATAGTGACCTATATCCTCGTTCAGTTTATATGTTAAAAAAGTAGCTTTGAACTTCTTCATCTTAGAGATTGGGTTGAACAGATACTGATTCTTTTTCGGTCTCTTCAGTAAAGCCAGCCTTTGAAGTGCAGTCTCTGCCAATTTGTCTGGAATAAATTGTCTTGAATCTCTTATGATTAGTTTGAAAGACCTTAGATTAAGCTTGAACCTTCTCGAAGATGAAAGAACTGCTGAGCTTTAATATTAAAATATACGTTGCTGTGTCTTTTGTTACCATTTATACCTACCTACCTAGGACCGAATAATTGAACATAGATAACGTATCACTCTGTTAATTGGTGATTTTTCAGGAAATTGGATCTAATTCGAACTGCATCGTTTTATATAATATCTCGTAAGGGACGCAATTTCGCTGTCAGTAAAGAAGCAAATATTACGTCTTTATATTATCTTCTCCAGATTTGAAAGGCAAGTGATTTCAGAACGATATCAAAACACATGTTAATCGACAAGATATTATAAACTGAGCAGTTTGTAATGTCTTGCAATGGACAATTTATTGTACGTGCCAAACAGTTGAAGCCTCCGGAAAAAAAAAAGAAATTTTGGAAACTTTTATTGCCTTTAGTTGAGAAAGTCGAGGGGTTTTACATCAGAAAAAGTTAGATATCCCGCGGATTTATACGATAAGGTTACCATTAAAGGTATGACGGTGTGAAAACCTTTTTCAACGAGAAAGAAGTAGAGATAAACTTAGCAGAAATTAAACTTCGGCTGCCAGGTGACTTTCAGACCTTCCGCAAAAGGCAGAGAGGTATCTCTCAAACTGTGTAGCATCACAGAAGTTTTAGTGAAATCTTGAATTGGATGAGCTAAACATAGCTCTTTCGAGTTATATTACATTTTGAGTCGAGATAAAATTTTTAAACAGTTCAGTCTCGTATTTCAAATTCTTCTTTGCAACTCAAAGTTGCTCGAGACAATGAAACAACTTTTTGGATTACCAAGCTTTCGTGCGGTACGGACAGAAATCAAATGAATGAGTGGATTTTGTGGAAGTGGTTAGGTAATATATCGTAAGCATTGAAGGGGGGATGTGGGGGGGGGGAGGGGGGGACAAAAAGGCGGTCAAAAATTCACAACCTTGAAAACTTCACAGCAACGGGCAAATTCAAATTCTACATGTAGCCACACAAAATTATTCAGTTATGTAATTACAACAGCCATCAAATTTGATAAAGTAATCTCTTACCGCCATGCATAAATTCAAGCTTACTAAATCTCCAAGTCACACAAATAGTAAAAGACATGATTTACTACCTCAAAGGATTTTATTTCGGCTCACATACAACATTTCGTTTCAGTCATATATCAAATAAAAATCATAAGTTTCTACTAAAATCAGGAAGACTTTGTACAACTGGAAGTCCAAAATTTCATAACATTACAAACGAGGAACAAGGCGAATTCCTGCAATTAATCTAGTTCCTGTATGAAGTGATTAATCTTTCGGCGCAGACTCTAGAGCCCCACCTCTTAAATACCTACACAAAACTTGTAAAGGATTTATCTCGCAGCTCTCGCGCTAACACCCTGAAAACAAAATTCTTTTGATCTATTTATCGATTTCTTCAACACCCTTATGCAAAGAAATATACTTCAGCCTCGGGTGATGATCGTGAATCACAAATCATACCGTGCATAATGGTGAAGACAAAATAGTAAGATAATATGAAAGAAAAATGCTTAATAAAATTAGACAATCAAGGGTAAACAAGAACATCATTTTCCACAGCCACTTTTGACAATTGCATGCAACACTTATCGGATTATTAAGGACTTTTATTTGAGTTAATCTCTTGGGTCACGTTCGCTATCCTTACGTCAAGCAGCTTTTACAGGCAAGCATTTGTACTCACAACAACTAATGGTGCTACGTACATGCCTGGTAGTACATGTGTTCAGTGTTTCGCACACACTGTAATAGTAGCACGGGTTACTTAGCACTTTGCATTCCACTCTCATCTCCTTTCCACTTTGTCGACATAACCAGTCATCATGAGCAGAGGCTATACGTTTGCCACCTGGGCATGATAAATCTCTTGGTATATCAGGAAATTCTACGATTTCGTAGCGAATCTGTTGTCGACGTTGCCGGTGTTTCTTGCCTGTAAAACAGAGAGACGTTATTCAGCTTATCATAGTGTTGCGGTTGAAACCAGTGATGAACAGTGGTTATATTTATTATTTAAGGATCCTCGTAATTTGAATGGCTGTTCCCGGGATGTCAAGGCTCGAGAAACAGTAGAAAAAACTTTTGCTTTTGCGTAACTATAAAATGATTTTGAGTAGTAAAGGGCACCTAACGACTCCATAACCAATAAGAGAGCGAGAAGACTCCCACATGACCAGTTTTGACGGGCCGATACAAAATGTTGGTTTCTGATTGGTTGTTTGAAGTTGATTACCTTTATACCTTGCGTTGTTCATGAAAGAGGATACTGATGGAACCGGATGTGAATGTACATTATGCATATTGTTGGATATACATGGTGACTGACCTAATTGACACCCTGAGTGTAAAATTTTTTAAAATAGTAGTAGCCAAGTTGAAGCAGCCAAAAAGACAAATTCGCGTGTCAAGAGCTTACTTTCCGGCTATTTTGCCGTATATTGAAAGAAATGAATTCATTTTTTTTGTTATCTACTAAAACAATTTAGTGGTGGACATTATGATCGTGAAAATTTTCGAAATGAAATCTCTCAACAAGACTGGTCGTTCAATGAATCAGAATATCTAAATTTGGCATGGTCTAACTGAAAAACAAAACTTTTGCGCGTTGTTAACTCTCATGCTCCTTTTCGAACTAGACGTACTAAATTGAACAAAACACCCTGGATTAATTCAGCCTTGAAGAAAGTTAGCGCTGTCGCGATGCTGCTAAAAGGAAAGCGATGAAAACAAAGAATCCTCAAGACTGGGGCAATCAAAGAAAGCTCCGAAATCGAATCAACGATAAAGTGAAAACCACTAAGGCATCCTATTATCAAAATAGTTTTATTCAGTCTAAAGGAAATGTTCGAAGGACTTTGAAAACTATTAAACAACCTCATGTCTCGTTGTCAGAACAATCAGATAGTAAAGGATGTGAAAGTATATGGCATCTCTATCTGTAACTCTAACGAGATTTCCAACGCCTTTAACGAACACTTTTCAACTATTGGACCCAGGCTAGCCCGTGAAATACCCTTAACTTCGGACGAGGAGTCTATTTATTTAGAAAATAGTACTGAAAATTACAACAAATTTTGTTTTCGTCCAACTACTACCAGTGATGTCTTTACCCTTCTAAATAGATTGTCAAAAACTTAAGCTACAGGACTAGATAATATCTCTGTTAGGTTGATTCGTGAGTATGCTGATATTATTTCAGGCCCGTTATGCGATCTATTTAATAAATCCCTGATGTCTGGCATATTTTCCTGACGACTGGAAATGTGCCAGAGTGACTCCGTTGTTTAAACAGGGCGAGTCATCTGACTTAAACAACTACCGACCTATCTCAGTGATTTCCGTAGCAGCCAAAGTTTTCAAGAGGATTGTGTACGATCAGTTATACAACTTATTAAGTAGTGAAGAAATCATTTCTAAACAACAATCTGGTTTCAGGTCTCTGCACTCAACTGTTACTGCACTTCTAGAAGCCACTGACAGTTGGGCGTTTAATATCGATCGTGGCTACGTCAATTCCAGTGTTTCTCGACTTAAAAAAGACATTCGGCACTATTGATCGTAAGATATTACCAACTAAAATGAATCGGTAAAATAAAAGGTAAAATTCTTGATTGGTTTAAATCGTATTTGACAAATCGTACGCAACGGCGCTCAGTTAACGGTTGTCTCTCTGACTTCACCTCTCTTAAATGTGGTGCGCCACAGGGAACGATCCTTGGCCCTATTTTATTTCTAATTTATATTAACGATTTGCCTAACTGTCTTTCGTTCAGCAAACCTAGAATGTATGCTGATGACACCCACATTACTTATGCTGGTTCTGATTTGCATTTGATTCAGTCTAGTCTATCTCACGACCTTAAAAAGCTAAGCAAATGGCTTGTGTCTAACAGATTTACCTTGAACGCTACAAAAACTGAATTTATGTTGATCGGCTCCAGGCAAAGACTAAGTACTCTATCTGATACACTCGAAATCTCCATTGATAATATTCCGATTGAACAAGTTTCCTCTGTGAAATCACTTGTAATATATATCGATGAAAATTTAACGTGACATTCCCACATTGATAAACTGAGTGAAAAGATCGCTTCTGCAATTGGAGTCATACAGCGAGTTAAGCCATTTGGGCCTCAATCCACCCTACTCAATAAATACAACTCACCAGTTCAAACTCACTTTGATTACTGCAGCCTAGTCTGGGGTAATTGTGCCCAAATATTATCTATCAAGCTACAAAAACTACAAAACCGTGCTGCACGAGTAATAACTTCATCAAACTATGACGTAGTGTCGATTCTTTGTTTCACAAACTCAGCTGGAAAGTCTTGACTCAACGTCAAATTCAGAACTCCTTAATGGTTTTCAAGTCTTTAAACGGGCTGGTTCCCGAATATTCCACGTCTAAATTTATAAGGCGAAATGAATCAAACTATTCTCTGATACAACGGCGTTTTAGTTACAACGGCGCAACCCTTTGGAACACCTTGCCCTGTAGCATTAGAGAGTCTGGTTCATTAAATCAATTTAAACGCCTTCTCTATAAAAAATTTTTAAACACAGCATTCATGGAAATCAGGTTTTTTTTTCTTTTTAAATAGCATATTGTAAGTTAATATAATGTTAGGATTAGGATTTTTAGGTTTTAGGATGTTAGTCATTGTATTAGAATTTATTGTACCTGATGAATTTTTTACCGTGTATAAATAAATGAATAAATAAAATGAAATAAATAAATAAAATGAATCGACTCCGGTGATATAATGCCTCTACGAGAATGACCATTTGCGCATGCACTCTTGTCGGAAAAACGATTCTAATCAAAAGATCAGAAAAAAAGTAATTCCGAATTTAGTTTCAATTTAAATGCATGCTATTTTAGTAGTCATTTGCTCATATGGCGACATTACCTTTTATTGATACCCCTACATTATCGCCTCAATTCCGAAAAAACTCAGAATTCTTCAGGTCTACCACTGTTTTGTCCGAACGCGATGTATTGAGGACTTCTCGCATGCTTACCATTTGTTTGGATCCTGATAGATTTCACGGTGTCCTCTATCTTTTTGAGGTAATATATTGCGTAGTTTTCACAAAACGAGGCCATCTCTTCGCTTAGAGCAGATGTATCAGTCACCTCATCATTCACTGTCCATTTGTTTTCAATAACTGACTTCTTGCTGATGGTTATCTGTAAGATGTAGATTAGACATATTACTTCCCAGCAGGTGAAACTAAAACGAGACAGAAAGTACAGCTGAGAATGACGGTCAAGATAAGTTACTTATCGTTATGCTACTGAAGAAGTCTACCCCCACAGTTCTCTTTCAACGGTTAGGGTGTGAAGAACGCGGGAAATTCATAGAGAATCATCGCTCCTTAACTCAGCTCTTTGACAACGGCTTCGAAGAACCTTTGCGAGCTCACCAAGCAAAAGCAACTTCATAGAGAGAGAGGTGTTTTCCCTTTCTCTCTACCCAAACCTTTTTCAGATCTTAGTTTCAATTGTGTAAGAGATGCAATTTTCTAGCTAGCTAAGAAAAACTCTAGATAAATCTTCACTGTGTTTGTTTAGCTCTTCTTTGATTGCTGAGACTCAAAAATTAACCACTGAACAATTTTGGCAAAGTTTTCGTTGGAGTGAAAGAGAGACTGAGATGTTAATATTGAAAACTTTTCGTCGAAAGTGTTATTCAAGGAATTCAAATCCAAAAGCCATCCCCTCCTGCTGTTTAAAAGAGGCTAGAAATAAGTAAAAACTGTGCCAAACTCGAAAGGGGATGAAAAAGGATCTCCTCCACACATGAACAAAATTTTACTCTTGCTCTGCTTCGAAGATTGCTTTGGTGTGTTTTATGCATGCCCATTTTCATGCTGAGCTGTTAAAAGGCACATCAGAAAAATAAAATTGGCATTTTCTTACCCTGTTAGCCTTGTCGAGATCATTAATGAGTTTCTCTGGCGTCGAAACTTCCATTTCTAGAGGCAAAATATAACAGATCTTCTTTTCCGGCAACTGCATCATGCTGAGATTCTGCAGAAAGAGAAAATAATTCTTATTTAACCTAAAGCAAGAATAGATAGGTATCTGACTATATTAATGACCAGTGTGGAAAGATTTCGTCGGTAATTTGTCTGAGCAAGAAACGGTCACACATGGTTAAAATTAAAACAGGCTGAAATGAAGATCAGTACCAAACAAATGGGAAAAAGAACTTAAGCCAGGAGGCAGTAGGAGATCGAATTTCACTGCAATTGGCAAAACACAACAGAAACTAGATTATATGATTTAATTTCAAGTTACTGCATAGACGACCTTTCACCATGAAAAAATTATGCAGATATGGCCTAACTTCAAAGAGCCAGACTCTATTCACCACACCTTCCTTTCACGTCACAACACTCCAGAATTTTATACGGAAGTTATTTATCGTTTTAGTGCAAAATACGCATGCACTTCCTTGAGTGCGTTTTAATTACTATTTACTATAAGCAAAATATTACTTATATCACCCAAAAACGTTTTCCAAAGCATGTGATATTGACGAGTTTGTGTCTAAATTTGAACAAAAATTAAACATTTAGAATTAATTTGAGTCGAAGTGCTTCTTAACTCATGCATAATTACTTTCCTCAATTAATTTACATTTTTACGCAAAATTTTTCTGTGCTCGACTATAAACAGTTTTACGGTAATAAAAATTAACTTTAGCTCCCTTATCTTTGTATTGTCGTGAGAAGTAAAGTGTATTTTTTTCTTTTGTATATAATTGCATTGTTTCTTTTTCCAACTTATTAATTTTTGTTAGTAGGATAAACGATATTGAGAAAAAAAGGATCTGGTGTTGAGCTTTTGGGACCGTTCATCACTACTGAAGCAGGGAAGGGAGAGGGCTACAGGTGAAAAACTAAAGACACTTAAAATTGTAGCCAATGAAGTGTTAGCCACTGCTATTGAGCTATTTAGAAGTGAGTGGAGGAGGGGGTGGGGGCTTTAAATTCAAAGTAAAAACGAATTTTTTTTGTCCCAATAAAGAATCCAAAGATAGTCTTAATCCAAAAGTACGGTTGTGTCTCTGCAAGCGTGAGAAATAACTAGATATGATATGTCAACGTTTTGCATGAGAACATCCGTAAGTGAAGTATAATGAAACAATATTTGTGTGGTATTTACTGAGGGTCTTCTCCAAACTGAATAAGACAAAGTGTGAGGCAGTAGTTGGAGTGAACATTTGATTACTGTTATTTGCAATTTCAGGGGTTATGGGAGTATTGAAACGTTTTCGTTTTAGAATCGGTAAGATGAAACGAAAAAAACGGAACAGCTCTTCTGGTTTCCTACTTATGTGGGGATTGCATATTGGTAGAGAATTACAACTGACATATCCTCTAAGTCAAATGTTTTTGGTTGCCCCCCAAAATCTTCCACCCCCTCCCCTCCCCCGAGCGATAAATAATGACTGTTCTCCTAGCCAATTATGGGCCTCTTTCATATCTGAATGAGAGGGACGAGAACTACTTACGACCTTGGTCCTGTAATTTTTTCATCGAGTCGGGCTGTCAAGGTGGTAAATGGCCCTTACAGAAGTACTGAAAGAAATTGAGGCGATTTCGTTCGATGGTCATCGAACTCAGGCTGAAATAGGGTTTTAACTCTTTACTTCGTTACGGCTTAGGCAACATCACTATGGGCTTGAGTAAATTAAAATTAAGATGACAGACTTACCTTTTTGAAATCGTGCAAAATATTGCTTTGCTCCACGTTAACATGAGCAGGAACTTTAAACAGTTCGGTCTGCTTCTCTGTGTCCACCTCGATTGTCTCGGTGTACTCTTCCCCAGACTCCCTGATCTGAATGTTATAACCCACGACCTTGAAAATGCAATGACATTTTACAAGGTGGTTTGTTAATACGTTATTAATAAGAAGCCTTGCATGTTCCAGAAGGTCAGGCAGTAAACAGAGCAAGATGCGACGAATAAACGGCAAAAGCTTGGGTCGCTAATTCTAAAACTCGCGCTGATTGCATACGGTTTACAGCGAGTCCGTTTACTACCTGAAGGCCCAAAACAGTCCAGAAGAAGCCAGACTGTTAAAAACCTCCTATAAGGTACATAGACATTCCATTTTGAATGTTTTTTTTTCGCAAGATGAGAAAACCCTGATCCTATTTAAAGGAAGCGAGATTGAAAATGGACACGGCATTATACTTCAAACTTTTATAATCGAGGGTTCAAACTTGTTTTAAACCTTCAAACAGCTTCTTTGATCTACGTACCCTATCAAAGGACAACAGTGCCGAACGTGAAGTGCTATTTCGAGAGTGAGTACCTTGAGATCCATTTCAAATACTGCTGCTCAAATCCACACAACGTATTGAATATAGAAACAACACCATCTCTCGGTGGCAAACGCACGAGGCTCAGACTTCTTTTGACTCAATGTCACGCAAATGTCATCTCGTGACCAGTTGCACGAGAAATTAAAGCCATGATTTAGGGGTTAGATTGCAGTCTCACTTCACTGATCTACACGGCTTAGCTACATCAATGAAACAGCTCACCTTTTGAGAAGGAGAATCCATTTCTACATAAAAAGGGCTGGCAGGAGCCAACTTAACCAAAGCGAGAAATAAAAGAAAGATGACCGGTAGCCGGGTTCTTGTGGTGGTGCATGTGTACTGCGCAGAGTTAAAAAAAATACAACAACAATAAATTCAAGTAAAATGAAAGTGAAACATTTCAAATCGTGAGCAATATCTCAAAGTCGCAAAACGCATGACTTTTCAGATTAAGTTACGAATGTTTCGGTGGCATCACGTCAACAGGGGAATTAAATTGTATCTCGCGACTAGAGGCTCTTGACTGGCCATTTGAATGGCCATTTAAATTTAAGCCTCAAATTTAAAGAATTAGAAAAGTTAACAAAAAGTGGAGCTTATAAAAAGATGATTATCTGAGAGTTGGTTTCCTACTTATAATTCAGTGACGCCTTGATCTCTAGGAAAAAACAAGGCATAATTTTTCATGATACTTACAAACTGCATGGTGCTTCTTTGTTCCTGTAGTATAATTTGCTCTTCTCTCAATTAATGAACATCTCTTCTGCCGAGACTTTGCTTTTTATATGTTTTACATGGCGTGACGATTTCGTTGTCTCAGTAGTAACGGATATGATTCCTTATTGATCATTTCTCTATCTGTCTGTTCTGTTCTCCTTCCTTCAGCAAGCACGGAAAATGATCAGGGGTAATAGTAAAGTCATATACAAGTAAGCAAGAATTAGAAAACACTATGAGATCAATGATTATATTGAAAACGAAAGTTTGCAATAAATGATTCCCAATTATACGGAGTGCAGAGCAATTGAAAATCCGGAAGAAATTTAATTTTGCTTCAGGTAAATCAAAGGTAAGTTGCTTAATCAGCTCTCAAGGAACTTAAGACCTTGTAGATAGAGCACGTGTCATTGTAACCTAATTCCCTGGTAGTGCAATACGTATCCGTATTTTGCATAATTGTCACGCGTGAGGAGCGCATACACATCATGAAGAGAGAAGAAAACATACAGAGGCATCAAATCTAAACCAAGCATGGTTTAATCCGTTTATCAATTTCCAACTTCAAAGCGACACGGGAATCTGATCGTGGAGGAAAGTTCATATGCAGGTAGCTCCTGAGTATCTGAAAAAAAAAAGTATACGAATACAAATGCCCCCCTCAGCTAAAGCGGAACACGTACTAGGTTAATCAACAAGAAACTCAAGCAAAATTTTTCGACTCCAAACCACTATGGTGCACCCGCAGGGTAAACATATACCAGACGCTTTCAAAAGACATCGAGAGTTCATACTATAAAGTGCAAAAGACAATGGCAAACAAAAGAGATATCCACTTCGGGGTCAAATAATTCATTCAGTTGGTATGTTTGGCGTTGGTTTTTTTCCAGCCGAAACAGTTAATTAGGAGAGCAGATAGAAAGTAAATGACTGTCCCCTGCTAAAGCGCGCTTTAATCGTCAAATCTGGGTAATTGCGTAGATTTCTTAGCCTAAGAAATCTAAGATCGGGTAAGGTCAATTCCTAATGCAGTCCGTTAGTCTGCCTTGTTTTAAAGATTAAAATCAACGAGGAGCAGAGAAAGAAAAATATCATGAGTAAAGAATTTGACAACTGAGAGGGATTTACTTCTACTAATTACGAATGACAGGGATTTAATTATGCTAAATATGATCAAAAGTCCCCTTTGGTGACGCTCTGTAAACAGCTGTAAAGGAAATAAATACTTAGAGGAGGAAGAAGTGTTTTCCGTTTGGCCAGTTTGAAATTTCTATCGTGGCTTACATAAATAGTCAATCAAGAAAAAGGACATGACTTTGTCCCTCGCTGAAGCACGTCTTCAGGATTTATATCTTAATTCTGCGACAGTGAGTAATTTACAATATGACCATTAATAAGGTCGGTTAATGCACATCTTTGAGGGATCGATCGAATGGCAATAAGAATCGAATAGGGAAGTAGCCTTTCCCGTCACTCGTTTGGAACACGGTTTCTGTGCTGTCGTCCAACTTGCGCTTCATTCTGAGATAATATTTTGACCCACTTATTTTTCCCATGTTCTCTTTCAGCGGTAGAAAATTGAAAAGAAAACATCCATTTCATTCTGGCTTATGTTTTTCGCTAGTAGTTAAAATTCAATCATTATGAATGACGATTTTTTTACAAATTGTAAGACGAAGTGTATCTCAGACATGTACCGTTTGGGTACCTACTTTTTTATTGCGGACTGGAGAATCGCACATTTCTGTCACAACCCTTAATATTTCGAAAGATTGCGAAGACGAGGAAGACTGGTGCGGAGCGGGGAAAAACGCTGACCTCATCACAGATTTAATATGGCGGCTTGTAAGAGTGTCGTTGTTCTCTGTCCTAATGCGCGCCGGCAAACCGTTAAAGTGAATCCAACAACCACTTTACTTCAGGTCTGTCTGTTCCTTTTTACTCTCCGCCTCTCTGCGTTAAAGGTTTTGTTAGTTCACGAAGAGATATGAGTTTTTTTCAGCTTGACTAAAGTGCTTCGTTAACAGGCGTTGTAAGGTAGATTAAGTTTTTTCAGGGTTTTAAAACGTGTCTTTCATTTCTCCAGGTACTTGAAGAGGTGTGCAGAAAACAAAGCCTTTCATCTGAAAACTTCTCTTTGCAGTTAGTAAAATATTTGCTTCTCTCATTTGTCTAGCTATTTTATAATTGATAATTTTTTGTCTCAGTGACGTATACAGGGTACATGTAAAACAACAACACAGTCGGGTTCATTCAGCCTCTCGGTTTATATAACTAGGAAATACCAACATTTTTCAATTACTTTGATGACCCGTAATCGCTAAATAAAAACGTATGCATGCAAATTTCTCAAAGATCTACAATTCAATTCTTCGTGCAAAAGGACATGCTGTACATGTACATGTAGTAACCATAAACTATAAATCAAGCTAATACTAAAGTACTGTTGTAAACCAGTCTTCTTTACAAAATAAGAAAGTATTTTCGTATAACCCCATATTAATCTAAAAAGTAAACTGTAGTCGACGTCCCAAAGGCAATTTATTGTTGTCACCATCATTTCCTCAATCAAAGGCTCATGAAGTATAAGGCTGTGCAGAAATCGTGATATAAAAAAGTTGGCATTTATTTTTATATTTATTTTGTAGCTGAACTGTATTCTAGTGAAGTACCTACACATGTATCATGTAGTTTAATGCCTGAAACTCACTTGTTTCACCATGAGTTGTACCAGTTCATCTGTGTGACATAACCTTACTTTACTTGTTTCATACACTGTATATAATGTGGAGGGGTTGGAGACAGTCCTCTCTGAAACTGGATTCAACAATTATCATAACTCAAGTTATAAAATTAGATTGTATGATGCTTTGAGGTCAAATAAATCTGATGTTGATTATATCTGCCCAAGATATGTAGCAAAAGGTGGTAACACCATATATTAGGCCTGCCTGAAAGTTTTGAGGGGGGTAAGTTTCTAAAGAAACTCTAAAAGCCCTCTACAGTGGCCAATTAACATTTATTTATCAACTCAATCAATAAAACCAAAATATCCTGCCTCAAAGTTGGTTTTGCACCAAAAATGATCAGTACTACATTATCAGTATATACCCATTTATCTAGCTTAAGTGCAATGCTGTATTTTGGAATTCAGTTTCTTGTTTGAACTGAGGAGTCATAGAGGATTCTGTACTAATTTACCTCATGGATTAGGGGACTGCATGTTCCTTTTTTTATGACACTGACTGTTACTGAGAGTAGTCCCTTTTTGGAGTATGCCAACCAAGGTGATCACAAAATCTGTGCCAGTTTACCTGTTTGCTAATGGTTTCTAACAGGTTGAACCATCCTATATTTGACCATTTCTTAGGCACCAGAGAAAGATTCTTGATGATACCTTACCAATACGATATACTGGTTTGTCAAATAATGCACATCTGGAACTTGTGGCCAGCCAGAGATCAAAGCAAGGTAAACTTAGTAAGGTACTCAATTATCAACTTTATCATGTTAATTTAAAACTTTCCTTTAATTGCATACATTGTTCTGTTTCTATTGTTTGTTTTGTCCAGTCAGCATTTTGTTATACACATTTCAACTTCAACTTTGCATAAATCAGAACTGAAGATGACAGAAGAACTGTCAAAACATGTTTTTAAAATATTTTGTTTATTTTCTTAAAGAAGCAAGGTAACTGTGAAATCCTATATTGAAAGGGGCCAGATAGTTGAGACTTTTCAAATGAGCTAATGCTTAAATTCAAACATGAAATAGTGATATTTGATATACTTTTCATAACTTGAATACAGTAACTTGTTATTTTTAGGATTTACAGTGGCTGTAACTTTAAATTAATTATACATAAAACTTAAATAGCTGAGTGCTGGAAAAAGGGTACTACTTTTACCATTCTTACAACGGTTTGACTTGTATTTTTTGTAAAAAACGAATCAAGTGACTGTAAGCTGTAGGTATAACATACAACTGTAAGGGCTGTTAACCAGTGAAGCACCTGAATAAAAGCTTAATACTTTCTTGGTAACTGAGAGTCAATGTAGGCTCACAAAGGGGTTCTTAGAAGTGGTTGCAGTAGTTAAGTCTTTTATTAATGTGTCCTGGTGAATGAAAAGCTTTGTTGAATACTTAAGAGTGCAAACAATAACCCAATAACTGTACAATTGTGAAAGTTAGGTAATTGTTGCCAGAGTACTTCAAGTACCAAAATAATCTGGCCTTGTAAAATGCACCCTTATTTTCCTCTGAACAGTGCAGTCTATTTCTACTTTGGGCCTGCAACTAGAGTCTGGAGAGAGACTTGTAAAGGAATTCCCCTCATCATCTTCATTGTGGGATGTTCTTTCACACTGGGATGTAAATGAGAAAAGGTTAGACATCAAGGCCTTAACTAAACTGAAATCTGCTGTAACTAAATGTACTGTTGGTAACTCAATGTTTCTGTTAGCATATGCACAATGGTCAGAGATGAAATTAGGCCATCAATGTCACAGTCATATCCAGTCAAAAAACACCATGTACGCTTTCATAAAAAGTCAAACTCTTGGCCTGCCAGCTACATGTGTGTACTCTGTCACTAAGCCATAGAACATTTTTGGTGTCTACAGATGTAAGTCATTAAACTACAGTCACTAAGCAAAGCATGAAAAGAAATATTGATAATAATTATGCCTTTTCATGGAAACCCATGGGCAAGAAACCTGCTTCTGAATGATTGGAGAATAGATATCTTGCTTCTGGTATAGTCACATTTGTTTTAGTTGATTCATTTATGAACCTGTCTTTCTGTCTAAATACTGATAGCTGATGTACATTGATATGCCACAGGTACTTATTTAATGTTCTTTATTTATTTATTTATTTATTTATTTTTTGCAGTTCTCAGCAAGGGAAGATTATTAATCCTTTTCCTGAAGAACAGAAGAGTCCAGTGTGCATATACATGACACAAGAGGTACAGACTGAAGGCTGTGTTTTGTTCACATTAGGTTAACCACTGTTAATCCTTTAACTCCCAAGATCTCACTGGTAATTCTCCTTACTGTCTGCTATATAGTTCTTGTGATGTTAGTTTTGAGAATTTGGTATTGGATCAACTAATAATCCCCTAATTAATGTTTTTCTTGATTCTCATTACTTGTCTGCCTGATATTGTATTGATATTGTAAAGTGAAATTCTGTCTTGGTCACTCATGGGAGTTAAAGGGTTAATCCAAATGGTCAAAAGTTCAACCAGGATAGATGTAGGTCTCATAAAGGGATATCACTGAGTTTTGCTTAACATAAAATCACTATAACTTGAAAAAAAGAGTCATTCTTTGGAGTTACTGTTACAAACAAACATGTCTGGTAATGTTTGTAATAAGTTGCTACTGCCTGTTTGAGATGATCATTTTACTGCTAGATGGTGTCCCTTGCCACATGACTGACACTGCTGAAAATTACACAAATCTTGATAACTCGATGTTGTTATTAGTGGTGGCTTCATTCACTTTCATAAAGGTAATGTTATTTAATTGTGACTCTGCAGATAAAAGGTGAAAACTGCTTGCGAAGAGCAACTTTACATTCCTTGGGCTTGACTGGAAAAAGAGCTGTCATAAGGTTTGTGAAGATCCCATATCTCAATACCAATTGCCCTTTGATTATGATTTGGTGTTGTTTTTGTAGTTGCTCTTACATGTACTTTCATTCAGTTGATACAGTCTCAACTGTAGTTTTACAATTTGAAATTAAAAGTGAGTTTTTAACTCATTCCAAAGGCTTCATATCAGTGCCTCAGTGGTCCTATCTTATTTCCAACTCATAGTATAGGTTTGTCAATATTATAATTTTGTGTGTGCTGATTGAAAGCTATTTACTGTTGTTTAGATTATTAGATAACAAAGAAGTGAGAAATAAACTGTGAACGTTATCAGTAAAATATTGATCTTCAATGATCAGTCTCAATCAAAGTCAATGCAAAAAAGAAAGGCATTTGCAGAGATTGAACATTTGCTTCCCAGTTAACTTGTAAAGATAAATGTGTCACTTGTTACATGTACATGTATATCATCCACAGGTCAAGATAATTATGATCTATCATAATTTAGATCTCTCAACCTTCTTGAAAATTAACTTGCAGGTTGATTCATAGACAACTGGTAGAAACAGCAGCTGAAAATGTAGAAATGCCACCAACAGTGAAAGGTTATTATATGTTTAAACCTGCAGCTCTTTTGCACATGGAACAAAAATGGTTGAATATAAATTTTATGCTAATTCCATGCCAAGATATGTGTCAATTTTTCAAAGTAATTAGAAGTTGATGGAGCATGAAGTATTTAAGTAATTATCCTTGATTGTAAATGACACATTGTATCATGAGTGTACTCAATCCATGGAGCTTGTAGGCCATCCTACATGGAATCACAGTGCCATAAGCCATAAGAAATAGAGACCGTGAATGACTCTTGACTCAAACTTGTCCCTTATTTATCATTTTTTTAGAAATAAAGAGATTCAATGTTTCTGTTTGAAAATTATAAAATTAAATGATATAATTCAAGTTAAAATCAAAGTTGTATTTGGAACTACTCTGTCTTTAGCAAGTTATCAGATGTACATGAAACTGTGACCACTCAACCTCACCATAGCTAAACATATACATGTAAGTTTGTTTTCTCATTTTTGCTAGATAAGACAAACTCAGCCTCAAGCATTTTACAGGATAAACTTCCTTCACAAGATGTAGACCAGGGTGCATGCAGATCTGAGCAAATGATGATAGACAGTGCTGTTGTTACATCAACAACCTCATCTGCTAAAACCATAATTCAAGAAAACTTAAATCAAGTCCCTAGAAATGTCAGGAGAGACAATATTGCAGGTGCACGAGGAACTTGTATTCAAGGTAAAAAAAAGAAATCTTAGTATTAGAATTATCTTGATACTTTTGTGGCCTGTGTACCCAGCTTTTAGAGGGAGTTTTCTAAGTTGGAGCTGTACAAATTGGAATGGAGGGGTGTGTTTTTGTTTTTACAGTTTTTTTGTTAATCTCTCTAAATTCATGGAGTGTGACATGTTTTAAATCCTTTTTACAGACAGTATAAAGGAACCTAAGAGAGCCAGAATAACTCCTCCAGAGCCTCCTTTTGCAAATTTTAAGGTATAGTTTAAGGTATATTTTAAGTAATACTGTTTCCTAGCTAACAATTTCTATGCTGTTATGGCAACCTGTTATCATGTTTTCTTGTATATCTAGTTCCCAGAAGAGACAGCAGGCATGGACTTATTCCAAAGAGAAAGGTACTGGAATGGATAATTTTTTTAAGAGTGTATTTCGGTAGTGCTTATTTCTTCACCTCACCAAGTTTGGTCAGGAATTCTCTGCTTGTACACATGTATTTGTATGATGTTGAATGTTGACTTGGTTATGGCTTATCTTGGCATATGCTTCTTTTCATTGGTCTCTCCTTGACAACACAAACTCGCACACCAAAAATTCCAGAATCATGATTATAGATGGTTAGGTGTCTTTTTGTTTCAGGGCTGATGCATCCCGTAAGGAATTCCTAGCCACACCATGTGACAGACAGCCTGTTGCTTTTAGTGAAGAAGATCCATCTTCTCCTAAACACGATGAAGGTAAAATAATTTTCTTTGACCTTTTAATTTTGTCAAAGTTTTCCATCATCCATTCATCTCTTCACTCATTTTAATTTATTTACAGTAGTCAGGTAAAAATTGAAATTTTTTCAACCAGTTATCTCAGTTTCTTCCTGTTAGGCCTCACTAAAATCATCCATTGCTTCTTTTCTTCTTCTTCCAGCTTTCTTTTTCTCCCCTTTTGGTATTTTGTTCTATTTTTCTCCTCACTCTCCCACACTGCATTCCCATGGTTTCTCTGCTAAATGTCTCTCAGGCTTCTTTAACCTAGGACATATACATGAAAATGTAAGAAACTGTGTGGGTCAGTTCTTTTGCAGCGATCTCCCAGGTCTTACCTTGCTTAGGTTTTAGACAGACTTTTTCGATTGCTCTCTTTAACGTACATATTTGATGTGATTGCACTTGTATGTTTCATGCATTTATGAAGGGTAATTTATGAATGCCTTTTGAACCAGGTGAAATTCCAGATTCGTTCTTTGAAGTAACAGTGGATGACATCCGCGTCATGTTAAGAGACTTGAAGAATGAAAGGTACTGTAAAGGCTAATACAGAGAAAAGGTGTGATTGGACAAAGGAGATTATGTGCTCGATATAACCTTGTTTAAGTTAATCCTGTGTTACGATTTCCATGTTCATGCTCTGACAGGGAGGGTTTTTGAGGGCAGCAAACAAATCTTAGCTTGCGATACCACTAATTCGTGAATTAACTGTTTTGATAGACAGTTTATCTTCTATGACCTGTCTGCTTACTTACAAACGAAATGTTTGAGGGTATTCCTGCAATAGTCGATGAAAGTGAATGGAAAAATCGCCTAAAGTTTTGCTTGTTACGGGTTCTTTTTGGTATAATACAGTTGTCAAGTGAGGGCAGATTCGTGTTACCTTAGGTAATGGGTGAAAACTTTCGTTACTTGAGCTATTGTCCGCTCTACATAGGGTCCTCTGTTTCTTTCCAAGTGGACTGCATTAGTGATTCTTACAGTGTCATTTATAAATATTTTGAGTGAGAGAACTGCACTCAGAATACAGGGTGACTCTTTCTACATTGGTCAGTTTAGGGCAAAACTAACAGGCCGTTGTGGAGATATGGTTGCTGAACGTAGGTTTTATCAAAATTAACTAGTTCGAAAATATAATACAATTCTGTAGACCATTTCCAGTCAGGTGGGCAGTAGCCTGAATACGAGGTAGTTGGTGAACAGATGATCACAAAGGGTGCCAAACGTTACCAAGGATTATATATTGTCGTGTAATCAGTTTTTTTTAATTTGTGAATAACAGGAAACAAGCAGACAGTGCTCCTCTAATGACGAGAGCCATGCGAGAAGTGCGACAAGAATCTGAAATGTACAAATACGATAAGGTACTAATAAATATCAACAACCTTTAGCCCGCAAAATTCTTTTATTAAAGCTTAGTGTTTTGTGATAAGCAGTATTTTTTTATAAAACCATATCATTAAGAACAGAGTTATGTAACCATAACTGCTCTGCAAGACATATCACGGAAGTAAACATAAACTTTTAAGTTTTTAAAAACGACTAATTTGAAGCTGAAAGTTCTCTGTTTTAAACAATGTAATACAAAGGAAACTTAAAGCACTGATTAACAAAAGCACATGACTCGCGCATTTTTTTCCAGCGTGCGCGCAAAAAAATCGTATATGCGCGTCTGACTACCCTACGTCTGAGCGTATGAAATTGGTCTGCGCAGTTAACATATACGCGAGCGGTACTTTAACTCATTAAAACTTCGTCTGAAACCTCAAAACCCTTTTTTCTTCTATAGAACTAATTAAAGGCCATATGTGTTTAGTACAATGTATGTGTTATCGAACTAAGAGACATACGTTTAATCGAACGTTCAGTACAATTTAGTTTGCTTTGTTTTGTTTCACAGGTTGTTGTGCGTATTAAGTTTCCTGACAGGCTGGTCTTACAAGCATTTTTCAGACCAATGGAAAAAGGTAAAGTATGATGTCTTCTATACACTGCCCTCAAAGAGGGATCCTCACTATCAAAAAGACATTTTTGTCGGTTCCTAGAAGAGGTTTACAAACGCGTGGATGATTCATAGATTGCAAAGCACAGAGTAGATATTTAAACAGCACCATTAACTATTTTTGAAACTAATTATTTCCATTTTTTCTGTTATCTTATTAAATGTTATGAGTTCTTTTACTTCTAGTCTCAACCCTGACAGCATTCGTTAAATCCCACCTAGAAGATCAGAATATTCCGTTTTATTTATGTAAGTAATTTTATTTCTGTACAATATTGTCACTCCTGCATATACTTTTGAAGAAGTTGCAATCTTTTTTTTACAAATTATTTTATAATCCTTAGTTTTGAATTTAAACTGTTTTCGTTTGCATCCATGTCTTTAGATACTACACCACCTAAGCGTTTCCTGGACAAACCAAATTCAACTTTGTTTGAGGTGAGAACAACCCTAAATGCCACTTATCTTAATGTTTAAAAGTAAAATTACCGATAGTATTGACCCGAAAGCTTAGTGGAAAATCAACATACTTCTCAGAGTCCACATGTTTTCCTTTTCAAAAATCAGTCATTTATGGCATGAACGGCTGCCAGTTCCCATCCCCAACTCTTCCCGATTCCCACTTTGAGAACTCTTTGCCGAGCCACACCATTCTTTTTCTTTTATTGTTATTTATTTTCTTTTACTTCTTAATCCGGGAGTCCTGGTGTCGAGTTCCACTCTGATCACCAGATGGATCTAGACGCATTTGTTTCGATCTGACTTGTTCCTCGATCAGCCCAAGGACCCCGCTGGTCATTGGGTTTTCATTCATGTTAAGTTTCATTTGTATTATTTGTTTGCGGTTATTTGGGTGTTTTTAGTCTCTTAGCATCAATGATAGTGAGTCAGCAATACTGAATAGTGTCCCTCTATAAAAGTATTTTCCTTTTCCAAACCAATAAGAATAATTCATACCAACTCAATCTTGCCAAGTTATCGACACGATCTAAATCTTAAATTTATTTTTTCGGCGGTCATCACCTCCTCCATAGTTTCTGTAACAAACTGAGAGTGTTTATGCAAGATTACTTGTCGCAAAACTTACTAACGTACTTGCATGTGTATATTTTTCGGTTTAGAATAAACTATACCCAGCTTCAGTTGTACATTTTGGATCTCAACATCAAAGAGGTATGAGAAAAAGTACTTAGTATGATGTGGCACATTCTTCCTAATATGTCTAATTAGACCTTGCAGTTTTTTTCTGAGCTGTGAAAAAAAGACTTTCAAAATGTAATGATTTTTTTTCATCATAGAGCACTACCTTTCAACAAGACTACTTGACAACCTTTCATCAGTTTTAGATGCGGAGAAATCTGTTGTTGATACTGGGTAAGACAAAAACTCTAAAAGTTTAAATTGGAAGTCTTAATGGCCATTTGTTAAGCCTTTTTGGGGTCAGAGTTGATAGGCCACAGAAGCCCTTTGGGATACATTTGGCGTCAAGTGTTTGCAACGAGAGAGCTCTTTGATTATTGCTCTCAAATGAGTCGCGCTGCGTTTCATTTTTGGCTGCGATCAAACGTTCAACTTCAAACCGAACTTGGATAAAGTCCTGTTGCTAGTGCAGAGATTTCACGCAGAAAGTTGTGATGCCTCCCGAAGCGTGGTGTGTCCCGAACTTTACCCTCACAAGTTATATCTTAAAGAAAGACTATGAATGATTCATTGGAGTCTGCGAAAAAAGACTGACAGGCAATTTTGGGTTCGCTTCTTTTTACATTGTGACCGCGATGAGCAATATTTTCTTGTGACTATGCTTGCTTGTTTGTAGAGTTTTGACAGTTCGCGCTGGTTCAAGACCTGATATAGGAGACTCGCTGGTTAGCTCGTCCACTGTATACAGTGAGCAAGGTGTAGGTACATCCTCGAATGGGGCAGGTTTCCTTGAGGAACAGAATTCCGCCCCCAACAGCAAACCGCACGTTGGAGGAACCACTAAAGGTGTAGTGCCAAAGTGGTTCAAGGGAACAGGTGAGTATCGATCTTTTTCTTATAGGAACATTTCCAAAGCTAAGTCTGTTTGACCGTGATACGCTCCGTGGGGGTGGGATTACCAACCTGCCCTGAAAAGCACTTTCGGTACCCTACCTTTTAGCGAACGTTGATATGGAATTCGCCGACCACTTCAGCAGCATTAAATAGAATTGGAAGGATTAAACGGTTGATCAATAATAAATCTTACCCCTGCATTCTGGTATAATTACAATGAGTTGAAACGCAGATGCAGAATACAAGGAGTCATTGGCGTCGTCGCACAAATGATTGATTAATATGTATATAAGATAAGTCGGCCGTTGCATGCATGCTCCAGTGTTAACGATTCAAAAGGCTATATCATATATCTTAATTACCAATTTCCATTTAGTGTTTGTATGTCGATTCTTTTGTAGGGAAGTAAGCCTATTGGCTGTTCGAGCGAAATATCCTGTAATACAAGGTACCATAAAATCAAACGATCGGACGTGGTCAGCTGCTGAGGGATGGGACTAGTACACGGAAGTTCACATAGAATTATGAAAAATAATTAAAAAGAAATATTAACCAAAAAAATGAAGATCTGAGGCATGTGTTATGCCAGTAAATAACGGTATAGCTAAAGAAAATTGCTTTCAGGTGGTGAGCGTCAATGTCAGTCATTTTCTTTGAAGTACGCGTCTTAAACACTCAAGTGACAATCTCCTCATGTAGAAATCAACGTGTTAATTTGTTCTCCTTTGCCGATCAGAACAAATATTGTAACTGATCGCTTGAAATACTTGTTCTGTCTCAGTTCAGCTTTCATAATGTTGGAGTAATACTTATAAATTGTGACATGATAAATTGGTGTTTATTAATTTAAATCGTGAAAAATGTATTGATATTTAATATAAGCAGAAACATAAACGAGAAAATAAAAATATCTTCACACGGGATTTGCAATGAATTTTTTATATCCTATCAAATGAACCTCTGTCGAAGTCTGACTTATCATTTTGGAGGGAGTGCGTTCTTCTTAGAAGACTGTTCATTCTTCAAAATAGTTAGAAGACCTACCGGAATTGGGAAGTACGGGTGTAGTCTGTGGTTTCAGTCAGCTTCCCTTGTAATCTCAATGATAGTTTCCACTTTTCGAAAAGATGGGAAATATAATTCAAGATGTTTGAAATTTTCCTAGGTGTCCATAAACATGCCTTTTATTAATTTTCGGTGATCGGGGAACCTGTATTGGATAAAAGGGAAACTGGTTGAAAGTGGTGTTTAAGATTTGAACGTACAGCTGTAGCTAAGAGAGGAAGAGTTATTAGAACGGAAGGGCGAGCGTTGTTTTTGGAACGCAGATCAGAATAAAAGTTGTGTATAACATATTTACGTAGCTTTTGAACTCAGGATGGATTCAATGTTGACCAGAAAATAAAGGAACTGAGATGCGTTTTTGGCGCAGATAGATTTATTTTGTAAACAAAAATGGAAACGTGTCGGAAGTGGAGTAAAAAAAATTGACTGACCCTAAAATTCCCAAGATCTAATTGGTAATTTTCTTTACCGTCAACCTTACAGTTCTTATGATGTTAGTTCGCAAAAATTAGTATTGATCAACCAATAATCCCCGAGTTGTTAATTTTCTTTGTTTTCATCACTTGTTTGCTCGATATTGCATTGATCATGTGAGGAGAAATTCTTTCTTAGTCACTCATGGGAGCTAAAGGGTAACTGAGATTGGTTATCGAATCAAGAAACACGCGAGTGCCCACGTATGGAATCGAACCTTGTTAGTAGATTTTAGACGGGGTCCGACTGCTTAATCAAGTTACAGTTAACAACCGCATCGAACCGCAAAATCTAAAACGTAAAAGGGAGAGTATATCAGCAACAAAAGTGGGCCTGGATTTTTAACGTAGATGTATCGCAGTTTGAAACGGAGGGAAGAAAGCCTCTTTAAAGAAGGTAAGGGGTACAAATATAATCATTAACAGGTCGAGGAGATACTGAGATGTGACGGGCCTTGTTCCCATTTTTAGTGGAATTCCAGGTAATTATCCAGTTCCCTTATCAGCTATTCCCCACAATGTTTTAGGGACACACCTCACAGTTAGTATTTGTCTCTGTGCAACCGTTAACCGGTTTCATGAACAACGTTACAATTTTTTCCTGAAAATTTACTCAACGTTAACAACCCAGATGTGAAACCGTCTCGTTAAACGCTCACTGCTATTTCATTAAATCCGTCATAAGGTCGTGCGACTTTGAAAGAGTCCATTATGCATATCGCGGACTCAGTAAATTCTATGTGAAACAAATTTGGGGGGAATTTTCTCGCACATGTCGTGTCACTAAAACTCCCCTAATAACTTTTTTAACCTTGATACCAGGAAGTAGTTGAAAGTTCCCACTTCGAGATATTTTTTTATCCTTACGGCATGAAAATAAAGAATGTAGACGCCAGAAAATTAAACTGTCAAAAATTTGCTTTGTGTAATTCATTTAATTGATATGTCGATCACGATTTTTTACAAACGTGAGGCACGTCTAAGCTATGACGTCAGATCGTGAGTCAGCTACCAGTCGACTGAGACTGGGAGTAAAACACTCACTTCCGGAGACTAAGTAGAGTCTATTTTTGTCGCATCGACGTCATTTACTCGGAAGTCAATAGTCGGCCATCTTGTCAGATACCCAGTGTTGTCGTGAAAGCACTTTGGTGAACAGTGCTGCGATCCTTTCTAGTTCCTCATCGGTTTTTAAAGATGGGGATATTTTCAAATTCTACAAATTTCGATTCTCATCTCGGTAAGCTCTTAGTCTTTTAATTATCTGATGTAAACTTGTTTCAGAAGTCAGTCTTCCTCGCTGCATTTTATTGTTGTCTTTGAATAATAATATGAGCTTACCGTATGTTATTTATTTATCTTCTAGAGAAAGCAACGAGTCAGCTTCTTTTGGAGCCAGACTGGAATAGTATTCTTCAAATTTGTGACTGTATCCGACAAGAAGATGTAAAGTAAGAGTACTTTCAATGCTATATAAAGTTCACAACCGTTGGTGACTGAATTCAATTTTGCTCAGGGGATTGGTGGTTGAGTACTATCAACTGTCATACAATGGTATACATCATGATTTCTAGCCTTTATTTACTGTATTTTTCTCTCGTTCACAGCCCCAAATACGCAATAGCAGCTATAAAGAGAAAGATTTTAGACAAGAATCCCCACGTTGCGAAATTTGGATTGATAGTAAGCGTAGCATTGTTTGATATTGATCAGAATTTAATGTTAATTGATTTTGTACTTTCGGACAGATTCTTTTACTTTTATTTGTTTTGTAAATGACATAGTTTTAACGATTGGCCCTCAAAGGACCTGACGTATACTACTAGAAGATTTGACCCCTAACATTCTCCTACCTTGTTTTGATAAATGCGAAACTGCTTTTCAAAAGCAACAACTGAAAGCAACATACTAAGATAAACAACTGTTTATCTAAGCAGTTACTTCATAATTATTTTTATTTTCGCAATGGCAGCAAAATTTTTTTGCTCCTGATGTCAGAGGCTGAAAAAAGTTTAAGATTCACCAGCCATCTTGACAGTTACAGCAGTTTGCTTTCTCTATGGCACATGATTTTCCCCTTTTTTGATTTAAAGGAAAGTGTCATGTCACATGTAGAATGAGGCATCACATGATGCACTGTATTTTAAGGTCAATGTATCTGTGCTTGAAAGATGTTGGTATTTCAAGAGATGATTTTACAGATTGCATTTTAACTTACCAATTGCCCATAGATAATTTTTGTTGAAAATTACTTTTGTATGTACATACTGCTGGTACCACATTTACATCAAGTTTGACAACACAAACTGGTACATTGGAAGTCTGTGAGGATGATTATCTTTGATTTGAAGGCACATATGATAACAGAAACCCTTTTGAAGGGGATGTATTGTGCCTGATATGTAAAATTGAACTGTGAAATAATTATTCAACAGTCAAACCTTTACAAACAGTACAATTGGTCTCAGATCTCCTCTAAAATTACTTGAATTTCACTGTGCTTGAGAAGGCTCCATACTGGGTTTTTAATTGTGCAAGGTTTGGATACCACCATAGCACAAGCTTTAAATATGTCAACAAACAAAACAAACATGGTGGCTAGATACGATTGCGTGATTGTTATCTAAAAAGATGTATTAAAACAGTATAAAACAGTACAGTTTTTGTATAACAATCAATTCAGTAACAATCCAATTACTTAAAAAAAGGATTCTTGCTTCTGCACTGACACAGTTGAGCTGGCAGAATATGAATTGTAAATCTGTATAATCTGAGAATACTGAATGATTTTGTGAAGTTCAATAATCTCATACTGTTTCCTTATCATCAAGGTGTTAGAAGCATGTGTGAAGAATTGTGGGGCTCCTATGCACAAAGAGGTGGCTACAAAAGAGATTATGGACTGCTTCAGAGAGCTGGCCAAAGTAAGAATCAAACTATGATCCTCAAAGCTATCACCAATTTGGTAGCTATTAGAATGACTAACTAATTCTTTGTGTATACAAACCAAGTTTGATAGAAGACATGTATTTCAATGTCAGATTTCACCAGTTCAATGGGTAGTTGTAAATGAGGTTACTATTGCCTATTTGGTAAATTTAGTGACCCAAAGTAACTAATTATGCAATGTATTTACAAAAAGTGTGAGAAATATGGATTTTCAAGAGACATGATTTCAGCTGGATTTTTTTTGTGTGTTTGTGTTTACTGGATAGCAAATTCAAAACTGAGGAGGGAAAGCTTCATTCGATGGCAATTATAAGTTTGTATGGTTTCTATTGTGGTTGGCTATAAAGGTTATGTCATGGTGACAAGAGGAAAAACATCTTTCTCTAAGTTATGTCCTTTTTTTTTTTTACTTCAGTCAAGCCCAGATCCAGTCAAAGAACAAATTCTTAGTATGATTCAGACATGGTCAACTGCATTTCGCAAAGAACCAAAATACAAAGTTGTCCAGGATACATTTAATCTTATGAGAATGGAAGGTGAGGTGCCCTGTGGTATTCATTCAATTTTTTCCAATCTTCCCTAGATTGAACATCACCAGTGCACTTTACCAGTAGAATAGGTTGTACTTGATGTTACGGTGAATTCTGGCTACTTCACACCTAAAAAAATTGGAAATATGAGGGGGTTAGTGTTGCAAAGTTGGTGAAAAGTTTCCTTCTTCCTCATCTGATGAACATAAGGCTGTTAGACATGCTACATGTAAACAGGAGTTTTTATATAGACACAACTGGGTGGACATGCATGTTTGCCTTAACTGTTGTTTTGTTTGTTTGTCCACCTCTCTGAACAGGTTATAAGTTCCCTCCAATAAATGATTCAAGTGATGCCTTATTCACGGCCGAAACAGTAAGTTTCATGATTATAAGTGATCATATCCTTAGTTAGATACATGCAAAGCAATAGGGTAACTAGTGAATGGAATTAATTCATAATTATTTTTATGCATCTTAGAGGTAAAAACCTTTGTGCTAAACTGCTTGGTGTGTAGTTTACTACTGATGCATGTATAGGAAAATATCTTTGATTGAAATATTTAAAACTTATTATTGATTCCTTTACCAGGCTCCTGAATGGGCAGAAGGTGATGTCTGTCACATGTGTAGGGTTAAGTTCTCCACATTTCAAAGACAGGTAAACAGTAGCTAGACTCAATTTGGCTTATTCATTGTGAATTCAGAAAACCATTAACACATGTACTTGTGTCAAACACATCAGTTGTGTACTGACCATACTGTACACAAACCTCAAAACCACAAACTAAGTACTATTGATGGGTGTTTGTGGTTGAGCTTTGTCACACCTTGTTGATTTTTCTCTGGAATCACAAAACATTCCATTGATATTTCAGGTGTTCATGGTTTTCCCAGTTTCCCAGTAATCTAGAGATGAAGTGACATCATGATAATCATTACTAACAATTGACTCTGGGGTATTGTTACACTGCAGTGAAACTTTCTGACAGACAACTGAGCGTCTTTTTCTTAGTCAGAATGCAAAAAAGTTTTAAAAAGTTTATATAGGAACCAAGTGGCCAGTGCAGCCAGAGCCTATCCTGGTTTCCATGGCATGAAGTGACTAGGATTATTATTTCTCCCCTCTGGATAGGATGCCAGTCCAGCCAGGTTACTCCAGGTTACTCCCCAGCATTTCATTAGCCTTCCCCACTGATAATTTGCCTGTAGCCATTTATACCCCGGCCTGGGTGGAGAGAAGCACTGTGAAATAGCATGTTTTACCCATTAGAACACAACATAATGACCTGCTAGGTCTTGACCTTGAACCTCTTGACCTGAAGTGCAGGCTACTGTAGGATATCATGATAATTATTTTGTCTTTTTCATCTCAGCACCACTGTAGGAATTGTGGCCAAGTATTCTGCCAGAAGTGTTCATCTAAAAATTCTATCATCCCACACTATGGAATAGAAAGAGAAGTCAGGGTTTGTGATCCCTGCTTTTACAAGATCAACCCATCAGCAGGGTATGAAATCGCTTATTACATTACATTGCAGAATAATTTCATGATTTAGGTATTATGTATTCAATACAGTGCTTGCACCATATAAATTGCACTGAACCTTTTACAGAATTCCAAATTTTTCAACATTGTTTTCAAGGTGTTATTGATACTAGTAGATCTTACAAAGAGCACTTATCCTACAGTTGTGTCTCCGATTTATTGCTTCTGATAAGTCAAAATGAGTATTGACACTAATTTCATAATTTTTATTTACAGTCATGTACATGATTTTGTAAATAATCATACTTCTTATTTTTGTCTCTAGAAAAAGTGAAGAAGGCAGCTCCAAGAAGTCCGATAAAGAAAAAAAATCTGCAGATTCTGACTTACCAGCGGAATATCTTAACAGTCCACTCAGTCGTGAGTCACAGGTAGGGATTTGTCAAAAACATGATTGTATATAGTATACAAAAATAGAAATAGAAGAGTGAACATTTTTAAACGAGAAAGAGGAAGTTTAATCCTCAGTCTCTTTTTAATCCTTTGGCTGTACATGCTCTTGTGCTGCTAGGTTCCTACAAAGAAGACTGAACAGGAAATTCAGGATGAAGAGGAAGAAGAGTTGCAGCTGGCTATGGCATTATCACTGTCAGAAGAGGAAGCAACTAAAGATGTGAGCATAAACAGACACTATTATAATAAAGTCATGTGAACCCACTCATTGCTATGTTCAAGAGATCGATTCTCAAAAGCAATCAACCCAACTTTCCATTTACCAGTTTGGAGAATTTGGTAGTACAGGAAGGAATCACTATAAAGTAATAACTATATTCCTCTCACCTGGGTGATTGAGAATGAATCTAGGAATTTGGGAGGGTTTATGTTTTGAAAATCTGTCTTTACAAGGTGAAGAATTTGATAAAGAGCATGAAGGTTCTACATACCTCCAACCCTAAAAAGTAGAAAGATCTTTTGTGGATTGGTAGAGCTGCACTCATAAATTGATCTTTTCTTTCAAAATAAAATGTTGTAAGTTTATTAAATAAATAATAATGTAAAATCAAGAAGACACAAAATTTATTACAGCATGAATCATGGATTTGGAGTCTGTTACAAAATTTAATGTGATATCTAAATTGTAGGTGAAAAAGCTTTTTTTTAGGAAACTTAATTATGGCAGGTTAAGATAATTAGGGGGCATAGGCTCACTTTTATTGCCTTGCAAGATCTTCATGTGAACTCTTTGGCTTAATTTTGCATAAAACCATTTTAAAAATAGATGCATGGCATCACTTTCATGCCTAGAATTACGTTTTCATTTTCTGAGAAGTGTTGTAAATACTAGACATTATTTTAGTTTGCTGATTATGCTGCATGTGTACATATGTGACTAGTGAAGATATCCTCGACAACTGGTTTGAGTTACTGTGATTTATTTTGAGGTCTTCATAGAGCTCTATGTGTTTATTTGCTGAAGTTATACTCTTACTAGCTTTTTGTATCTTTGTTTGTTTTCAGATGCGAGCTCGTCCAAGCATTAAATCTTCTTCCTACAATGTAGTCTCAGAGCAACCTTACCAATCACACAGGCAGTCCAGTGGCTTATATGCTTCTCCAGTAAGTGCTTTGTATTTGCAAGTAATACCTTTCAGTTAACATACATTGCCCCTCGTAAAAAGTACTGTCAGGAGTCTGGGTTTTCTCGTTCATAGCATTCATAGCAATTAAAGTACTGTTGTTTTAAATTGTAGGATGTAGAAGCTGATTCATCCAGCATGGATCCAGAGGTATGACACAGTTATTTCTTTGTGCATAAAATCAGTTTTACCAACCCCCATGAGAACTGCTGTGTACATGTCCAAATTGCACAGCTGTTTTAAAACAGTAAAAGTATAAAAAATTACATCTTACAGAGAAGACATTGATTTTAGGTGTTGATATATACATTCTGTATTGTAAACAAAATCAAAAGAAATCTCTTTGATCTTCCTATCAATTAAGTTGGGTATTTGTAGTTTGTTTTAATACAACTTTTATTACAGTAATTGAATTTGAAAGTTTGCCCAATGTACAGCTATGCTCTCTATCTTACATGTAACTAATCAGTCTCAGGACAGGAGTTTGTAAGAGTAGGCACCATCCAACCACATAGGAAACTTGACCTAACACTAAGTAATAACCTCCAATTTATGTACCACAGAAACTCAGAATAAGGTTGTTTGAAACATGAATACACATGTATAAGCTAATCCATTTTGGTGTCGTTTTATTGCACTGTATTCTTCAATATTTTACTGCTATCACTTCTGCCAAACAGAGGAGTTCTAAAGAATAAACCCGAAGACATACTTATGCCTTAAAAGAAGAAAAACAAAAGGCCAAGATGGAATTTAAATTCTAATGTACATGTTAGCACTAATTGTAGTTAGAACAATTAGCCCCATGGTTTTACTCCATGTGTGGGCAACTTTGGTTGTATACAGATATTGAATTCCTAACTCACTTGTGTGAATTGTAGCTTGCAAGATATCTGAATCGCTCATACTGGGAAGAGAGGAGTGAAAGGCAAACATCAAGAGAGAGAACAAGTCCTCCAGCCAGTGCACCAGCACCAACGCAGGCTAACAATCATGTAGAGGTAAACATCTTTTGCTGATTGTCTACTGTTAACCCCTTGACTTTTAAGAGTGACCAACATCTAATTTCTCCTTACAATATCACCCCTGAATCAAACATTAGGATCACAAGAATAAAGCGAACGATCACCAGCTAGAGAAGCTCTTGATTGTTAAACCAGTTCTCCTTGTCTGCACCTTAGGAAATGTGTAGAGAACAGTATGGAGTACTCATAAATTTTGTATTGATCGTTGTTACAGTATAAAGGGTTAAACAGATCGATGGATTATGCTACAGACAAATCCAGTCATTTTGCACCAGTCCTGTAATTTTCTACTGGCTTTCCAGAGGAAATTTTTGAAAGGCATCACCTTGTTTTGTTAGGTCTGCTAGTATTTTTATTGAGTTTATGAACTATACAGGTGTCACCAGTAATAACTGTTTTAATTTTAAATGAGATTTTTTGCTAAATAAGACCAGCATTTTATCACTTACTTTTATTGAAACTATTGGGAGCTAGAGTCTTAACAATTCAGTGGCAAAAAGAATCCACCATTTTAAGGTAGAGTTCTTTTATCCAGGTTATGATACACATATAAAACATTTGTTACCATTACATTGAAAGTCATTTAGGAAAAAAATGGTCTTTTTAGCTATAAAAACGTTGACTCGCAAAAAAATAAAATGGAAAATTTCTAAAATTATTGAAACTTTTAATTTAATCGTAATGAAAAAATGTTTGCACAACGGGTGTCATCATTCATCTTACTTTCTCAAAGCAAACTGCAAAACATATTGTTTTGTAAGTTTTAAGTATCAGGTATTCTACTTGGCAGATAAAAGCACGTTGTGACAGATTAAAAGAAAGAAATTGTTTTCACAGCAGAGTGTTTGTTTAAATTTAGAGGATTTATGTCACATCTTGAGTTTTTACATAATCAAGTTTGAATGAGACAAATGTTCAGCGAATTCTACTCCAGGTGTGCTTCGGTAATGAAAAGAAAAAAGTGCGGAGAACATAGTTACTAGGGTTAGGGTATAAAAGTTGAAAATTCGTTCTGCGAGTTTACTACCCCGTATTTATTTTGATCATCATGTATCCTTATTTTAATTACGCTAACTATGTCAATAATTTTAAACACTAATTTCACAGGGATGTAGACTAAATTAACATAACCCAGCATTTTATCTCCATCTGAAGACCCTAGAAGAACTGTTTTTAACCTAACCTTGAAGGCTAAGAAAAGACTGTGTATTTCGTTTTAGATGAGACTTGGTGGATTAAAAGGAAAAAAGAAAAAGAAAGGAAGGAAATCTCAGAGAGACAACAATGAACCCATGGCTAATAACAACCCTCTTGCTGTAAATTTTATTAATTATTTTATTAATTCTAACATCATAGACTCATTAACAAGAGGATAAAATGCTTCCTACTTTTGATTAGCGTTTTTAATTTTATTTCAGGATAAAAACTGATTTAAGTTTTAAATTAATGCTCTAAATGAACGCGTTTTAATTTTTTTCGAGCAACATATTTATTTTGTAATCTTTCGTTTCTCAATATCCTGCAAAAATATGGCAGATAAGTTTTTCATACTTATGACGCGAACACGGAAGGGAGACCCTTGTCAGTCACCCACATAAACCGTCTGTTGATGACATGCTCTAACAAACTTAATTTATATTTACCCATCGGCTAAAGATCCTTCCTGTCTTATAAAATGCCAAATAACAGTACTTTTTGTTGAATTTGAGAACAAATTTATCGTAGACATGCATACACAGCCAGCAGGCGGTCTTGAAGTTGTGACAGTAGCGGCCAAACCCGCGGGTTTCGAGCGGGCCAGCGATGTTAGCGCACTAGAGGTCTGCAAGAGATCTGCGAGGGTCCAGACCCCTGATATACCTCTCGCTGGCTCCAATCTCGTCGCTCGTGCAGCAGCGCTAAGACGTACAGGCTGTAGATATTTTTATGAAGCCGGACCTACATCTGTCGGATCAATTTTTGAGCTTGCTTTGAGACCTTGTATTAAGATCTTGTTAAATCAAGTTATTTGAAAATATGGCATCGAGATGTAAGGGTGCCTGAGACAATCTTTTCTTCTTTTTTTTTTTTTTTAATAGTAATATTCAGGAGTGAGAAAAAGTCCTCAAGGCTTTTCCCCTAATTTGGCTTGATTTGTATTTTTCCACTCATGTGTATCAGGTTGAAGGCGTAAATTCGGACGTGTCTGAAGTGACGGATGCTATGGTGAAAACATTTCAAGGCAACGTGGAAATGCTGTTAGACAGAATGCAGAGAATTTCTGGTCAAGGGAAGCATATCGCTATGGATGCTACAGCACAGGTATTGTTGTCTACTCCTCATGTTGAGAATTGAGCCAGAGTTCATCCTGATGTCATCAGCAAGAAGTAGCTAGGCGGGGTGCCGGTCCATGCAGGGTTGCCTTCCCTTACTCTTCCCCCCCCCCCTCTCTCTCTCTCCAAGCATTACGTTAGTTCGTCACTTACAGTTTACCAGTTCCGATCCACACTCCTGGACAACCTCACAGGGTTAAAAACTTGTCAACCTGAAAGTCAAGTAGGAGTGTTTCAAAAGTTCTTACAAACGCTTGTGCTTGTTGAAAAAGTTATTGCGTTTTGGACTTTTGAAATCAAAAAGATGCCTATTTATTTGTGGTGATGGGTGCCGGTGATGTCAGTTTCTAGTATCGTCTAGTATTAGTTGTACTTTGTCGGACTATTGCCTCAACAAAGGGGTATTTTCTTTTGTTTTTATTAGTCATTATTCCAAACTGTCAGCGCAATGCATCCCCAAATTTTGAGACTCATAGAAGAGCAAGAAGAGAAAAAAGGTAAGTAATTTGTTTTTTTGTTGCCTTAGCCCTCTTAACTGGTTGTTTTCTTGGTTCAGAGTCAACAGATATAAAGAAATACCGCCAGTTAAGTTGACTATTGGTGTCTGTCCATGTTTGGCAGTTTCTATTGACTAGATTTTGTCCCTTACTTTTTTCTCCATGTAATTCGTTTCATTCCTTTTGCTTTCAGCTAAATACGAGGCACTTCAAGTGAAACTTGGTCTTGTGCATGAAGCACGTGCATCCTTAGATGAGATGCGAGAGCAACACCGTGAGAAAGTTCGTCAGCAGGAACTCGAACAAGATATGCTTCGACGGATGCAAATTGAACAAAAGCTGGAGCTGATGCGGCAGCAGAAGGCTGAGTACTTGGCTTACCAACAACGTTTACAGGCCGAGAGACAAGCAGTCATTGAACAACAACAACAGCAACAACAGAGATTACAATATCAAAGACAGATGCAGCCATCGCAGCAGCAGCAGCAAAGCCCATATGCCGGAGTGCAATATCCATCCACAGGGGAATCCAGTCCGTATTCTTCCATGAATTACGCTCCAATGACTGCAGCTGGTACACAACCTTACAATCCTCAGAATCCACTCGCGGGCTACACCCCTGCTGTCCCTCCTGGATATCAGGCCCCTGATGCCCCACCACCGTCTCAGTATTCTGCTCGACCAACAGGAGAGGGTTATGTACCCACCACACGGGCGGACTATATGTCATACAGGAACGAAGTGCCAGCCCCTCAAACAGAGTTCCAACCCCAGCCAAGTTCGCTAGAGTATCAGCCACCATCATATGCATCTCAAGTTCCACCAGAGTCTGGTCCATCATCTCTTCAGCCTTATAGTCTTGGGGGACCCCTCCCCGTTCCGACTGCCCCTGCGCAAGTACTTCCCCAAGCACCTCCTCCTCAGTATGCTCAGGTTAGCTCCCAGCAGCCTGGCCCTCCACCTCTATATGGACAGTCAGTTGGTCAGCAGCCGCCAACACAATCTGCGCTACAGAATCAGCTCCCAGCTACAACACTTCCAGGCCCCACAGGGAAACAACCCCAGTATAACCAGATGCCGCCACCACAGACCCAATCCCAATACCCACAACATCCACAATATTCCAACCCCACGGAGGCGCCACTGGTACCAGAGACTGCCCCACCCCAGTACCCTCAACCCCCAAACCAGGCTCCACAGACTAAAACACAGTCATACCATGTTCCTCAAGGGAATGGCTTTCCTCCGGCAATGGACGCCTCCAGAGGATCATCTCAGATGCAGTTCAATTCTTTACCAACTCAACCACAACTCAACATGGTTCCACCCAGTGGTCCTCCTTCGTTTCAACAAGGACCTCCTTCGTTGCAACAAGGAGCCCCGGTGCAGCAAGTTCACCCGATGCAGCAAGGTCACCCAATGCAGCAAGGCCATCCCATGCAACAGGGCCCTCCCCTTCAACAGGGCCCTCCAGGGCAGCAGGCTTATGAACCACAACAACAGCCCCAACAATTTGCACCTCAGCAAGGGTACCAACCGGGTCCTGGTCAACCACCGCCACAGCAATTTGGATCAGCACCGCCACCCCAAGGCCCACCTCCCCAGAGGCAGTTGACGGATCTAGAGTTAATATCTTTTGATTAAAGGAAACCGTGGATTTTACATGTATAAATAAAATTTCGAATTTCTTTTCTTGTGTTAACGTTTGTTCAATAACGTAACCGGTAAATGGTCAGGAGATTGTAATTTTTAACCGATATAATTTCTGTCCGGGTGGAAATGTAAAAAGTGACAAATGAAGCGACAGTATGGATGGTTTTGTATATTTGTGTTTGTTTTTGCATATGTTTGTGAATATCTTTTAATTAACCACAGTTTACAACTGGAGAAATATTTGTTGCGGGCTTGATAGGTCTTATTACGTATTATTCAGAAGTAGTTTGCCAGGTTCTACTCGAAAATCAAGATGGCTTGTGCCAGCAGCTCGCCATAATAGTGAATTGAACTGTTGATAATATATTCTATTGTCACAAGTTATTAACTTTGTTTTTCTTTTTCATAATTTGTATTTTAAAGTGGAATAAATCGTAAATATAACAAAATAAAACGAAATGAGAATACTTCGTTTGTTTCTCAGCTTTCTTTGGATTTTCTTAACTGATGTTTTTGTGGTTTCATGCTTCGTGAACACATGACATCTTTTTTAATTGATCTGTTAATAGAAATCAAATTACAGTGTTGGATATGCTAATATTCTACTCTCTTAAACTCTTGTCTGATTAGAGACTGAAGCTTCCGTGTTTTAGTAGTCACGAAAAAGTGATTATCAAGGTATTCTCGAAAACTCAGTTTGAAAGACCGCATAAACTCGGTAGTTCTTGGTACACCGAGAGATTTTGGTTTGATCTCAAGAAAGTTGACGGAGATAGTCAAGAAAGCTTTACGAATCAAGGTTAGTGTCTGCTAAAACCGGCACGAAATAACGGAAGATCACTTAGACGAAAGAAAAAAGCAGAAATACTGTAAAGCACAAAACTCACTGCTCGAACAATTTTTTTATATATATCTTTATTCCCTATCCGATCACTAACCAATATTGTGAACTTTAAATCCTACTGTAACGCAATGGGGCACTCAAACAGTTTAATTTCATTACTAAAGTTTCCCTGCTGGCTGAAAATAACGTCGCAACGATACAGCTTTATAGAGGGAATAGCATCAAACAAGTGAAGAGTTATTTCGTTATTCATCAATGTAGTAGTTTTCATGCTAATGGCTACCCTAATGGTCAGTCCAAGTTTGCTTTATTGTCACTTCGCTCTATCGCCGTTTCATTCCACAAAAGGAGCCATCTCGTTCCACGTTACGAGACAGATTGTCCAACGAATAAGTGAAACCTTGCTATCTATACTAAGTAAAGAACAACTTCATCCGTGCTGAAACTATAAAGAAAAGTGTTTAAAAGTTTACCATGATCGCCAATATCTTTGGTCTCTAGTTGTATGCGACTTGCAAGTTTTAAACGCGTCGGCACTATTTGTACTGAATGTAACGCTCCTGTTTCATGAAATGTCAGATTATTTAGTAATCAAGCCCCTCGTGACCCATTAACAACAAGTGATACATTTGTGAAACTTCAAAGCCTGCCTGTTTATTGAAATCACACTTAGCACTTAACAGCAAGGATATATGATCATTATCATAGCAACCATTTTTATGACCCTTACGTATCATTTTCTAACGGTATAATAAGCAATAATATGGTAAAAAGTAAAAAAACAAAAAGAACCAAAACAAAAAAACAAAAAACACAGGTGTCGGAGCAAAAACCGACCTCTGAAAAATGTCTACAGTTGTAAAACACTTTTGTCTCTCAGCTTTGGCTTCGTGAGACTATCAGCTACACTGTGTATACTTCGACTACAATGCTTATTGAAAAAACAATATCAAGCATGGGAAATGTTGAAACTTTATTGTCCTTATACTTAATTTTTAACTTGCACTAAGCCTTACGGTGTCTACTGAAATAAAATAAGAGCAAAGCCAAAACACTGAGAACATATCTCATTAAAGGCTGGCTGACAAACCACTGCAGGTTCAATAACACACATATTGCGAGCAAAGCACATAGTAAATGATACGCCTTAAGTAACATCTCCACCAAGAGCAAACCCGGATCGTAATGGAAACACGCCCAGATATCTTGATTTGTCTTCTCCAGTATCCTCCTCTATAAGAACACCAATACCTGTCCCAGTAGGTGACGGTGCCTTTTCCACCTGCGCATAGTCTATTGGGATGAATTGATGGATATGATCCCGCATGTCGACGACTGCGCTGTTGCGTTCCTGTTGTAAAAAGAAAAGACACAACTGCATTAAATGTGTCACAACAATTTGAAGTTTGCAAAACAAAAGCAATTAATTTCCAGCAGGAACTTATGACATCGAGATATTTTAGAAACTTTTATCACGTTCAAGATTCACCAGGTGTCTATATATTTTTCATTCTTTATTTCTTTCACGGAACAGCTTGGTATGAGTTCTTTTTATAAATTAATAAAAGTCATACGGAAAGCGCGAACGCAATTTAGCCTTCTGGTGTTTTCGATAGACGCATTTCAAACTTCTCTGTCCTTAACTTACCTTCTGTCTCTACCCTTGTAGAAGTCAACGATACGTCCACTGTTTTCACCTGATATATCGGGTATTGTGGACAGAAGTTTGCCAACTCCTCGCTCAGTTCAGACCGGTCCACCATCTCATTGTCCACTGTCCACTTGCTCTCAATAATGTTTGCCTTTTCCTTGTCCATTTCCTGCAAAATAACTTGGCAAGATGGTTTTAGAATTTTCCAGCAATCCCTATACAAGAGAGAAATCATGCGTATTGCATACTGTTCACCATTGTACTGTTCAGCCAGCCGCCAGGACAAAACTAAAATCCATATCCTCATTTTCTCTTTTGAATTCACTTCCGGTTTGGGTAAAAATAGACATGGCTTCCGGATCAATTTTTTAAAACGCAGTACAGAAAAATTGTTCACATTTAAGTGGCAGCATTCGATATGATAATTCTATAGAGAATAGTTCGCTATTTAAGAATTAATTAGGGTTGTTCAAATATTATTGCTTATCTTGAGGTGACAAATGAAAAAAAAGCGTTAACTGTTTATGATATACTAAATACCTGATTTCCGTTAACATTTTTGTCTTCAACACGGTGGAGATACCTACAAATCGATAGGTGCGTTTCGCCCATAATATGGGCGTGGCCTATATGTTGGACGTTCACAAACATATTGGGAACAATATACATAGTAAACGTAGTGCTCTTCCCTACATCCCCACTAATAACACCTCCGGATCGTAACGCATATACGTGAAACTACCCTTTTTTGAATTCTCCAGTATCCTCCTCTATAAGAACACCAACACTTATCCCAGTAGGTAACGGTGCCTTTTCCACCTGGACACAGATTACTAGGGTGAATTGGCGGAAATGATCTCACATGTCGACGACTGCGATGTTGCGTTCCTGTTGTTAAAAGGAAAGGAAAAAACTGCATTAAATGTGTCACAACAATCTAAAGTTTGCGAAACAGGAGCAAAACACTCAAAGAAATACCTCCATTATTTTTCTGGAGGAATTTACGACATCTTGATACTTTAGAAATTTCTATCACCTTTGATAGGTTTGTTGAGATAAGTCGTAATAATATTTACGAAGAATGTAGCTAGCAAGGACGACAGGAATCGCGATAAGGCAACGGTCTAAGGCAAGTTTTATTACACATTGAACATTGTGGCAAGCAAAGAGATTTATATCTTATGAAAGATGCATCTATAAATGCAGTGAAGCTTAAATTTTAAATCCAGTTATTTCAATAATTAGTTTTGAAACGTTTTAGTTATTTCCAGAAATTATACGAGCGAGAAGTAATCAGAAAGTGACGGTAAAAGACAGAAAAGGAAAAAAAAACGCAAGCTCTTTATGGCATGCAAGATAAATTACTTCTGAGCCTTTTGTTGCTAATTATTGGATTAAGAGGAAACAATTTACCTTCCCAGAAGGGGAGTGAGCGAAACCGAAGGGACTTGCAGATGTCCAGTTTACTGTGGCACACAAGCGGTAGGAATAGGAAGGCTGGTTTCTACAAAGAACGAACAAAATACATAGAGATCGTCATTAATTACTTTTATTAATTTCTTCTAATCTCTGAAAAACACGAATTGAAGCCCTTAGTCAACTCATAAAATTCCATGTAACTTGCAGATGTCCAGTTTGCTGTGACAACACGCAGCAGGAATACGAGGGCTGGTTTCTACAAAGAACGAACAAAATACATAGAGACTGTCATTAATTACTGTTATTAATTTCTTCTAATCACTGAAAAACACGAGATGTAGCCCTTAGTCAACTCATAAAAGTTCATTTAACTTCTAGTTTCAAAATTTTCACTTTAATAAAAACTGTTGCCAACAAGATGATGCCATGTTAGAAAAAACGGGAGACACCCTCTAGATTCTTTCTGTGTAATTTTGCCGACATACAATAATCAAATTTTAGAAATAAAGATGCAGTTGAAAGTCAATCATCATAAAGATGACAATATTCAGTAAAATCCAGATGCACGAAAAATTTAAATGAACAATATAGATCAGTTCTAGAAACCTGTTTCAATTGTTTGTGTGGTGCATGCAATTATAACTAGGCTATACCTAAACTTAAACAGTGTCTGTTCACTTACAACGAGCATAGTTGTTAGCTTCTTAGCTCAGCTTTGTTTGGTTTACTCCGTCAATTTTCTTCTTGGTGTTGCTCGTCTCTCTTTGACTGAAGTTGACGTGTACTGTAACTTGGACGTGCTTTGCTTCTTTTTATGCCGTACTTAATGCTATGCATATGCATTATTAATGCATATTTTAATTTTATGTTTCAGCGAGGGGTACATTGTCTTCTTGATAATTCATTTTAGATTTCGAGGAAATATCAGGGTGGGTGGAAAAGAAATATCAGAAGTGTTTGCTGCATAAGGTATTTTTTTCGATTAACTGGTGGGTTAACTTAACAGATACTGTGTTGTGACTTCGGTGATTGTTTCCAGTTGTTTCTGGCATCTTATTTTAGTGCATCATTCACCTTCTATCGTACAAAACACGTGATTCTAAACCGGGATGTAAGAGTTGCTCTAATTCGCTTCAGCATGAGGGAAACGGGAAATTCAATGGTTATTCTTGGACATGAAATCATGTAAATTTAATTCATATATCTTGGAATATTCAGTCGCCCTTGACAGCTTTTTTTATCGTTTCTGCTGTTTAACCCACTACTGCATTTCTAGAATTTGGAGGTTTTGTTCAAATTTTAATTATATCTTGAAGTTATGCTGAAAAACTCCTTTTCGACGTAGAATAGAGTGCCGATATAGTGAACTGAATGCACTGCACTGAACTGTTTACGATATAAACACACTTTATCCCAGAGGGCAATCTATGCTTAACTTCCTTGTTTTTATTTGATTACACTAATTGCTACCTGTCTCAGCCAACAGGTGTCTTTTCTCATAGTTTTACTCAGTCTTTGAAACTTTGTCTCTCTATATTGCTTCCTTTCAATGCTTAAAGGAAAGGAAAATCCTAACCACCGAAAATTTCATTTTGAATATCCCTACTTAGCGACTATGGCTTGCACTGAGAACATCTCGGGGGATATAACAGTTTTCATGGGTTCCTACAAGTTTGTCAATGTGATTGTGGAATTTTATAATACAACGCGAGAATTCCGTCAATTTTGTATTTTGGTTATAAAAAGCTTTGACCCACTAAGTACACATGCTTAGCGCCCTTGATCTTATCTTCATAAGTGAATGGGTTTATGCTCAATTAACGTGTATCTTTGCATTTGATTGTTTACTATTTAGATAACAGTGCCCACCTGGCTATGGAATAAATTCATTTGTGATCATAAACTTTGACACCTGTGTTTCACACCTCTTACATCGACTCACTTGAAAGACATAAAATAATCATACTAAATATTAAACGACGAGGAGAAAAAAGAACCTAGATAGCGTGTATTTCTGATTACAATTTTTAGGGTGGTATCATTAATCGATAACAACAACAAGTGATACCTTTGTAAAACTTAAAAGCTTGCTTGTTTATTGAAATCATACTCAGCAATTAAAACAAAGATATGAAATCATTGTTATAAAAACCCTTAACATGACATTATGTATCATTTCTAACGATGTAGCTGCTGTAATAAGCTAATATATTGTAACAAATTAGACTAAAAAACAAAAGGACTTAAAATAAAAACCATACTCTGAACTGAATGTCTGCAGTGCTAAAATATTCTTGCTTCTCAGCCTTGGCTTCCTAAGACTCCTGATACTATGAGTTACAGTCAATACAGATTTAAACTACATTGCTAATTGAAAATACTATCTCATGCATGGGAAACGGTGAATTTCTCTCTATTCAAAATTGTACTTCTTATTAAAACGGTGTCTATGGAATTCGAAGTATGAGCAACGCCACAGCGGCGCCGAGAACACATCTCACTAAAAGCTGGACTACTAACGACACTAACTTAAAAATGTAAAAAAGAAAGAGCTACTATGGGTTCAATTATTACTGCTTATCTTGAGGGTAACAAATGAAAAAAAGCGTTAACTGTTTATGATATAATAAACACCTGATTTCCGTTAGCATTTTGTCTTCAACACGGTGAAGATACCTACAACAACTCGATAGGTGCGCTTCACCCATAATAAGGGCGTGGCCTATAGTATGTTGGACGTCGGCAAACATATTGGGAACAATATACATAGCGAACGTGGTGCTTTAACCTACAAAACCACAAAAAACACTCCCGGATCGTAACGCATGTACGCGAAGCTACCTTGGTTTCAATTTTCCAGTATCCTCCACTATTGGAACACCAACACTTATCCCAGTAAGTAACGGTGCCTTTTCCACCTGCGCACAGATTACAAGGGTGAATTGGCCGAAATGATCTCGCATGTCGACGACTGCGATGTTGCGTTCCTGTTGCAAAAAGAAAAGACACAACTGCATTAAATGGGTCACAGCGATGTAAAGTTTGCAAAACAAGAGCAAAACATTGAGAGAAATACCTCAATTAATTTCCTGCAGGAACTTACGACATCTAGATATTTTAGAAATTTCTATCACCTTCAAGATTCACCAGGTGTCTCAATATTTTTCATTCTTTAATTCTTTCACGGGACAGCTTCGTATGGGTTCTCTCCGTAAATTAATAAAAGTCAAAAGGAAAGCGCGAACGCCATTTAGCTTCCTTTTTTTTTAGGTATACGCATTTCTCACTCACCTTCTGTCTCAACCCTTGTTGAAGTCAATGAGTCATCCATTATTTTCACCTGATAAATCGGGTATTGTGGACAAAAGTTTGCCAACTCCTCGCTAAGTTCAGACCGATCAGCCATCTCATCGTCCACTGTCCACTTGCTTTCAATAATTTTGGTCTTGTCCTTGTCTAATTCCTGCAAAACAGGAAAAAGATTTCTTAGTATTTTCAGCTATCCCTAAGCAAAAGAGAAATCATGCGTCTCTTGTACTTCTCACCAATCGGTGTACTAGTCAGCTAGCAATCAGGACAATTCCTAATTGACAATTAACGAATTGTTTTAGAATTTTTCAGCAACGTGTCTTTCTGTAAAAGAGAAACTATGCGTATCCCACAGTGTTCACATATCAGTACATTGTATTCTTTGGTCAGCCAGCCGCCAGGACAAAACTATTGAAACCCGTACCCACATATTTCTCCTCTTGAATTTTTTATTGGTTTCTCAACAATAGACTGGGATACCTGGTTAAGTTTCCAAAATGTTCCCAGCTTCTTATAATGATCCAAGATCGAGATGCGAGACATTTAAGTGGCAGCACCTCGATCGATGATTATAGCAAA